CATTCCCACCATCAACAAGGTAATGTGCACCACACTTAATGACAAAGTCTAATGCAGCATCCTGTAATGCTTACAGCTCTACCTCCAGTTACTGCTAGAGGAATGAGCACTGTGCTCAACAATGCCTGGTTACAGCTCTACCTCCAGTTACTGCTAGAGGAATGAGCACTGTGCTCAACAATGCCTGGTTACAGCTCTACCTCCAGTTACTGCTAGAGGAATGAGCACTGTGCTCAACAATGCCTGGTTACAGCTCTACCTCCAGTTACTGCTAGAGGAATGAGCACTGTGCTCAACAATGCCTGGTTCCAGCTCTACCTCCAGTTACTGCTAGAGGAATGAGCACTGTGCTCAACAATGCCTGGTTACAGCTCTACCTCCAGTTACTGCTAGAGGAATGAGCACTGTTCTCAACAATGACTGGTTACAGCTCTACCTCCAGTTACTGCTAGAGGAATGAGCACTGTGCTCAACAATGCCTGGTTACAGCTCTACCTCCAGTTACTGCTAGAGGAATGAGCACTGTGCTCAACAATGACTGGTTACAGCTCTACCTCCAGTTACTGCTAGAGGAATGAGCACTGTGCTCAACAATGCCTGCTAAGGTGGGTTAAAATGCAAATTGTCAAATACATAAAACAATGTTAAACATTAAGACACGACCACTGAAAATGACTAATCAGCACTACTTAATACTTACACTTGAAAAAAATATGTAATGAAGGTTAACAATTTAAGTAGAAGGGACCCTACATTTGTTTGTTCACTACAACACATTTTCCTCTTCAAGTAACTTCAATCGTTATAGTTCAGAATACATAATGTAATTTAGTGTCAAAAAGCTCATAAAACACAAAACAGTTAAGTATATACAATTTATAAAGATAACCATATGGGTGGTGATGTCACTTTATTACTTAAAGTATTGAACACTGAAATTCTTTGAGTTAGGTTACTCAAATGGTTCTACGCAACGGGTTTCCACAACAAAAAATGTGTTAGCAGAACTAATTACATTTTACAGTGTAGTATCCAGACCTCAATATGATCAACGTAATTCTCAGGTGTTCCCTGTTAAGCAACTTCTAACACACTAACTATTTCAATCATACCACTTAGGTAACAAGATTGTTCCACGGGACTTTGTCAGTCTTCTGTTAAGGTATGTGTAGATCATTTATCAGCACACATCATTAGGGTTGCAAAGGAAGGGTATATTACTGGAAACTTTCTAAGTTTACCAGTACACTACTAGAATTTTTGTGTTTTTCAAGGATGTTTTGTAATCTATCAAAAGATATCTAGTGGCCCCTTTGGGTACTTAAGATTTTTACTGGAGTCTGTAATTATCTCTGGCCCTCTGTGTGGCGTTATCACATGTAAAATATATGATAAGATGATTTTCAAATACAACACAAGATGACAAAGCTGTAAAACATTATCCTAAATATAAACCATTAACTTTGTGAATACCATTGGTGTTTAATAGGATGGTTTCAGCATGAAATATCCTTTATATATATTTTTCACACTTTATTTATTTTAATATGTCAGTGTGTATTTGTTGTCAATGTTTTGGCATCAAACTGGTGGCAGTTGGGAAAAAAGGAAATAGTTGGAAGAGTTGTAGAGTTAATTGAAAATAATACTATTATTGCTAATTAATTAATTAGGCTATTTTCTCTTGAACCAAATGGTCTATCTACTAGAAGCTCATGGACAATATGGAAACCCTAAAAAATAATAGTCATACTACATATGAATACATTTTTTAAAAATGTATTCAAGTATAAATTACCAAAGTTATGATAGATTGCCATAGGTAACTTTGGTAAACTACCAAACTTTTGCAACCATTATGCAAGACATGTACTGTAGATACGCACGCACGCGCACACACACATACACACACACGCACACACACGCGCACACACACATGAACACACACACACACACACAAACAGACACCGTTTACATCGCACACAGCACAGGTTTGAGCATGTGCAAGACCTATTTGAGGTTGTAACGCTGTCTTATACTGGAAAGGAATGCCTATTAGATAAAAAAACTACTAGAATGAACATTTGATCCTCGCTTTGTGCATCACACTTAAAGCCTGGATTTACAGTTTTTCTCAATTGCTAAAACACTAAACCCTATTGTCTGAACCAAATGCTCAGTTGCCTGAACCCACTGATTGAATCAATCACTCTTTTGGCAAAACCATAAGCACTTTTCACCTGTTTAGACATAACTTGCCAACACATTTTCATTGTGATGCACCCGTGCTGCATAATGGTGAGCACAGGTGACAAAAGTCAAACACAATTAGAGCACAGGTGTCACCACTTGAACACAACAACTCAAAATTGATCACACTTGTGGCTAATGATGTGAGGGAACATATACAGTAAGCCAGTTCAGAGAGCACTGGTTTGTGAGGCCCTACAATGGATAGAAATCTGAGAGGAAGAGTTCGTGTGAGAGGAGGTCGAGGTGGTCGAGGTGGTCGAGGTGGTCAGCGAAGACAAAGAACAGTAATATCTGATGAAATCAGAGCTACTGTGATTGACCATGTTCTTGTCCATGGTATGAGCATGAGGGAGGCTGGACAAAGGGTACAACCAAACATCAGTAGATTCACTGTGTCCACCATAATCCGAAGATTTAGAGAAGAGAACAGGTAATTACCTTTTTTTGACATTATAGTACAGTATGTAAATGTTGACAGCAATTACTGTATGACATACTATATACTGTACCACAGTATACTGTAAGTAAATATATGTTTCAGTACATCACTGTACCAATGTACTGTAGTATTGTAATGGAGGGTTGGTCTAACTGTTTGTAGGCCTAGTATTCCATGTATATTTTTTGTAACTCCATGTTCTCTTTTTGTAGAATTGAAAGACTGCCACATGGGGGTGGGAGGACAGGTATGTTCTCCCCACACCAAGAGACCCTAATTGTTGATATGGTCCGTGAGAACAATGCCATTAAACTGAGCGAAATTCAGCAGAAGATCATTGAGGACCATTTATATTTTGAGGGTATCAACAGTGTCAGCCTCTCTACTGTTGATCGTGTCCTCAAGCGCAACAGACTGCGCATGAAACAGCTATACAGAGTGCCCTTTGATCGCAACTCAGACAGAGTCAAAGAGCAAAGATTCCAGTATGTACAGGTTGGCATATATCCAGACACATTCAATGTTGATTACTATAAGTAGTGATTTACTGTAGTGGCCTAAATCACTTTTTCCGTATCACTTACAAAACTATATCTATTTCTACAGAGGGTTTTTCAACTGGATGCAATGGAAAGACCCCATCAATACATCTACATGGATGAAGCTGGGTTTAATCTCACCAAAAGGAGAAGGAGAGGCCGTAATGTGATTGGCCATCGGGCCATTGTTGGTGTTCCTGGGCAGCGTGGTGGCAATGTCACATTATGTGCTGCCATCAGCAATCATGGGGTTGTCCACCATCATGCCAACCTGGGGCCCTACAACACTCACCAGCTCCTCATTTTCCTCAATCACATGCGAGATGCTTTGTTAGTGCAGCAGGATGAGCATCCCATCTATGTTGTTGTTTGGGACAATGTGAGTTTTCACAGAGCCCTCCAGGTTAGAGAGTGGTACAATATGAACCAAGGTTTTATCAATCTTTGCCTTCCACCGTACTCCCCTTTCCTAAACCCCATTGAGGAATTCTTCTCCTCATGGCGGTGGAAGGTATATGAACGCCAACCTTACACCAGGGTAAATCTCCTGCAAGCCATGGGACTTGCCTGTGGTGACATAGGTGTGGAGGCATGCCAAGCCTGGATACGGCATGCCAGGGGTTTTTTCCCCCGTTGCCTGGCCAGACAAAATGTGGCCTGTGATGTGGATTAAGTCCTGTGGCCTGACCCAGTACGGAGACATGATGCTGTGGCTGAGTAATGCACTTATTTGTATATTTTTGTACTTTATTTTTACATGGGCTTACTGTACACAAGTGGCAAACGCATAAGATTTCTGTTTGTTTTTACAAGTGCTACATGTAAATGCACAAGATTTCTGTTTAGTTTTTTTGTACAAGTGCTAAATGCACAGTTTTTTTTGTTTTGCAACATGCATTTAGCCTACAGTGAACAATAAACATTTATTTCTCCAGCTTCATGTCCTGAGCATTGTGTTTTTCTATTTTTCTACTAGTGTGTTTAGTGATGTTCAGTGGTGTTTTTTATTTTGATTGACTCGGGGCACGATTTGACAACATAGTTTCAGTTTTGAGCACAGATTGAACTGTTTTTTGAGGTGAAGTTTGGTTTTGCAAGAAGAGTCTGAGGTTTTGTGAATGTAGCTTGAAAATTGGGTTTTGTGTTCAACAGTTAAGAGAAAAGGAGAGCAGCTTTCAAGAAATGTGTCTTAGCAATCGAGAAAAACTGTAATTCCCACAAATTCATAATCAAATGTTGGATTGCTGATGGATGCTGCCTATGAAAGTTTTCTCATGAATTTTGAAAGACGCTAGCTACAGACGACAAGCGCCATTTATTATCCTACACTCAGATATGTTAAAAATAAAATAATATCTGGATTTCTGCAGAGAGAGAGAGAGAGAGAGAGAGAGAGAGAGGGGAGAGAGAGAGGATTAGCAGTAGAGAGATAGGAGGAGAGAGAGAGAGAGAGAGAGAGAGAGTAAGGAAGAGGAGAGAGATGAGAGAGTATACTGAGAGATAGAGATAGCTATCAGGCCTCGATTGCTATCTCGCTCTCGAGCTCTATAGTATAGATCTCTCTATCGCGATCTTGATGGTCTCGTATCTCTGTTCTTTTCGTCTGGCGTGCGCTTCTTCGGTTGGCGCTTTCTTTTTTCTTGGATTTCTTCTCTTTATTCGATCGACTTTCCCTTACGTTTCTTTCTTTGGTTGATTACTTGGCTATGTTCACCTGTCTCACCTAATGTCTCTAAAGATCTGTCTGTGTGTTCTAAAAAAGTGAAGAAATGTTCGGAGATGGTACAGTACAGAAGGTTGTGTTGACTTACAGTGGGGCTGAGAGTTCCTGCCAGGGGCCGCTTAGTTAGTTGTCACTCTCTTATCTCTTAAACACTGCAATAAACTGAATGAAAAGTTCTTAAAGTGCATTCCTGTGTTTGCCCTGAATCTAATGTATAGTACATAACTAGATCCATATTAGTGCAAATGCAGAATTAGTCCAATTACATTTCTTAGTTTTAACAGGCTGAGGTTATAATTATAATTATTACACCCAATTATAACAGCACTGGTAATGAATGGTTTTGCCTCTTCTGTGGCCTCCTTGATAGCTTTATTTATAGTAAATTAAGATATTCATACTGTTAGTTGACCTCTTCACTGCTGTCTTCTTATCCAGAGATGGTGGACACACAGAGAGCTGAGTGGCCCATGATGAGTTTTGGGCTGGGCACATTGGACCTGGCAGAGATGGACAACAGGATGAATAGTTTTGACATGAAGACCCTGTCAACCCTGGACCACCCTTACCTCCCCTCCCTGGAGTACAGCCTCAACAGTCCCCACCACCACAGCCCAGACAGAAACCACTCATTCAACCACAGACCAGACAGAAACTACTCATTCAACCACAGCTCAGACAGAAACCACTCATTTAAACACAGCCCAGACATAAATCAGTCATTCAACCACAGTTTAGACATAAATCAGTCATTCAACCACAGCCCAGACAGAAACCACTCATTCAACCACAGCCTACACAGAAACCACTCATTCAACCACAGCCCAGACACATTCAACTACCCATACAACTACACATTCAGCGAGTACCAATGTAAGTCTACTGTAAGGGACTTTCACTAAATCTGTCGTTTACTAAAGTGTAATACCTTAATTATCTATAAATGTAATATTATGTTAAAGCTATTGCCACACATGGCAATGTAAAACTTGTAGTGTATTTTAGGTTTAAAAAGGCTTCTGAAGTTTGAAAGTTTGACATTTCAGACTTGATTCCCTTACGAAAAATGTATCAACCATAGAAACATTTCCATTAATTATAATCCACATAATAATTCACATTTCCTGTTGCTGCAGGATTATTTTCCTGCTGTAGCAAACATGTTCAAATTAAGATCCTACATCTGAATCTCATTGTGTTCTCATTTGTCTTTGTTCAGGTTCAGTAAAAGTGGAGCCCATGTCCCCTCTTTGGTCTAGCAACTGTAGCGTTGTCAGCCTGTCCAGACCCCCTCTTCACTCCAAGTCCCCCACTTACACAGACCCCAGCACTCTGCTCTACATTGACTGCAGAGTATGTGGGGACACGGCATCAGGCTTCCACTATGGGGTGCATGCCTGTGAGGGCTGCAAGGTAGGACTGAGACCTACCTACTGAGGTTCTGGTGGCTTGTCAGTATGCATAGTTATTGTGTATGCTTGGAGCTATACAAATGCATTGTTACACATTTGATCATAAAAACAAACTGATCACATTCCTATTTTTTTAATTCATAAAGCAGCAGCAGACTATATTTATTTTACAGTATTTAAAAGAAAGAATTGTGATCAATGTCAACGTGAGCTTGACATGAATCCAAGGGTAAGGGTGTGTGTTTATGTGTCAGGGTTAAATCTTTAATAATATTTGACCCCCTGGGTGTTAAATAACATGTTCTCTGCCTTTCTCTTAGGGATTCTTCCGCAGAACCATGCGGTTAAAACTGGTGTATGACCACTGTGATCTGCATTGTCGGATTCACAAAAAGAGCCGGAATAAGTGCCAGTACTGTCGCTTTCAGAAATGTCTGCTAGTGGGCATGTCACGCGATGGTAAGCCCCTACATTGTTGTGAAAAGTAGATTTGTTTACCAAGATTTTTAAGGGTCATGATTTGTCATATACAGTGCATTCGGAAAGTATTCAGACCCCTTGACTTTTTTCACATTTTGTTACGTTACAGCCTTATTCTAAAATGCATTAAGTTATTATTTTTCCTCATCAATCTACACACAATACCCCATAATGACAAAGCGAAAACAGGTTTTTAGAAATGTTTGCATATTTATAAAAAATAAAAAACAGAAATACCTTATTTAAATAAGTATTCAGACCCTTTGCTATGAGACTCGAAATTGAGCTCAGGTGCATCCTGTTTCCATTGATCATTCTTGAGATGTTTCTACAACTTGATTGGAGTCCACCTGTGGTAAATTCAATTGATTGGACATGATTTTGAAAGGCACACACCTGTCTATATAAGGTCCCACAGTTGACAGTGCATGTCAGAGCAAAAACCAAGCCATGAGGTGGAAGGAATTCTCCATAGAGCTCCGAGACAGGATTGTGTTGAGGCACAGATCTGGGGAAGGCTACCAAAAAATGTCTGCAGCATTGAAGGTCCCCAAGAACATCATTCTTAAATGGAAGAAGTTTGGAATCACCAAAACTCTTCATAGAGCTAGCCGCCCGGCCAAACTGAGCAATCGAGGGAGAAGGTCCTTGGTCAGGGAGGTGACCAAGAACCCAATGGTCACTCTGACAAAGCTCCAGAGTTCCTCTGTGGAGACGGGAGAACCTTCCAGAAGGACAACCATCTCTGCAGCACTCCACCAATCAGGCCTTTATGGTAGAATGGCCCGATGGAAGCCACTCCTCAGTAAAAGGCAATGTCAAGCGTCACGTCTGGAGGAAACCTGGCACCATCCCTACGGTGAAGCATGGTGGTGGCAGCATCATGCTGTGGGGATGTTTTTCAGCAGCAGGGACTGGGAGACTAGTCAGGATTGAGAGAAAGATGAACGGAGCAAAGTACAGAGAGATCCTTGATGAAAACCTGCTCCAGAGCGCTCAGGACCTCAGACTAGGGCGAAGGTTCACCTTACAACAGGCCAACGACCCGAAGCACACAGCCAAGTCAACGCAGGAGGGGCTTCGGGACAAGTCTCTGAATGTCTTTGAGTGGCCAGCCAGAGCCCAGACTTGAACCCAATCTAACATCTCTGGAGAGACCTGAAAATAGCTGTGCAGCAACTTTCCCAATCCAACCTGACAGAGCATGAGAGGATCTGCAGACAAGAATGGGAGAAACTCCCCAAATACAGGTGTGTCAAGCTTGTAGCATTATACCCAAGAAGACTCAAGGCTGTAATCGCTGCCAAAGGTGCTTCAACAAAGTACTGAGTAAAGGGTCTGAGTACTTATGTAAATGTGATATTTCCGGGGTGTTTTACTTATACATTTGCAAAAATTTCTAAAAACCTGTTTTTGCTTTGTCATTATGGGGTATTGTGTGCAGATTGATGAGAGAGAAAAAACGATTTAATCCATTTTAGAATAAGGCTGTAACAAAATGTGGAAAAAGTCAAGGGATCTGAATACTTTCCGAATGCACTGTATGTTAACTCCAAAGCTTTGCATTATGTAAGTGTGGTAGGCTACTCCAATTCATTAGCCTAAAGCTCATTAATAACCTTTTACTGCAGTGGGCTAAATCAGGGTCACACAGAGTGATTCTTGGTAGTCTTAAAACAAATCGACTTTGAAACGAAAGAATACACCTCACACACATGGTTATGGGCTTAAAAAAAGAAGACACCTGTACCATGTCAGATATAGAGTTGAAATGTATTCAATTTTGAGTTTGCATCCCAATATTACACTTTATATACATCACAGAACACTGAAATATAACAAAACTGTTTGACATAGAAACACCGGATTTTCGTTGTAAAAACTTTATTAAATAGGAAATTAGGAAAGATATTACTAACATTCCACCCATGAGGCCAAAGAGGGCGCTTTTAGTCATTGACTGCATTAAAGGGCTGCTCTTTTGATTGTCTTGCATTAAATTAGGAAAGGATAGCTAACAGCCATAAGCACATTCCCTCCTTCTGCCTTGATGTGTTTGACCATAAATTTTTTTAAACATAATATTATACAGCAACTTCAGAAAGTATTCACACCCCTAGACTTTCTCTACATTTTGTTGTGTTACAGCCTGAATTTAAAATTGATTACATTTAGATTTTGTGTCACTGGCCTTCACACAATACCCCATAATGTCAAAGGGGAATTCTTTTTTTTCTGTGGCACGCACAGCAACAGGGAGCGAGGGAGACATGCAGTTAACCAAATCCTCTACTTTAATCTTTAAATATAACTGTAACTTTATTCTCGACATACTATTATGAGTTTATTCTCAAAATATTGCCACTTTATTCTCAAAATATTGCCACTTTATAATCAACTTTATTCTCTAAATATTGCCACTTTTTTAAAGTACTATTGTGCAAAAAAATAATAATTCAAGTATCACCACCCATTGCCATTTATTTATTCTTCACTTGGCCCTAATACTCTTCTGTACCTGAATACAAAGCGTTATGTTTGGGGCAAATCCAACACATAAACACATCACTGAGTACCACTCTCCATATTTTCAATGCCCACTCACAGGGCACTCTCTGACACTTCAAAAAGGGTTGACAGGGTTTGATAACACTTATTTAATGTCAAGGGTAGGGATGGCACAATTACCAGATAACCATGTAACCGATGGTTATGGATGAAGACCTTCATGAAATTAAAATAACCGTCATAACCATTTAAAAAAAACAGCTGACTGAAGACGGGACGGCCGGGCATTCGTGCAGTTGAGTCCGTTTCTGCGGTAACATGGACTCTTAACAACGTAATGAAACGTTGTTGCTCCAAGGCAACGCCCCCCTCCCTGCAGCACCAGCACACATTGAAATAGAATGAATAGAACGGGTTTGGAAACTCTAACCCTGGCAATTTGACTGGTCAACTCATGGGTACACTCGCAATGGCTGCATGGTATTGGGATGCAATCATTTCCATGGTAATGTAGAATGTTCATTCAAATGATGTTAACTGATGTGGCTCATGCGATGGAATGTATTTTTTCTAATGTCAGTTGAGTTGAATCAACAAATCACAGCACACATTGATGGTTACACTTTCTACTTTAACTTCCTGCTTTGCTCCTATGGGTGCACTCGCAATGACCGCCAGTCCACCCATTATGCCATCATTGACTTGAATGGGGACACCCGTTTTATTCATTCTATTTCTATGGCAGCACAGTCAGGAGCGGAGTAGAAGAGAAAATGTGTGTAATTTTTCTTTTTTGTTATTCGAACGGTTATAAAGGTGACCGCAGTCATTTGGCTGACCAATAACCGTCATCCAAAATTACATGACCGTCACAGCCTTAGTCAAGGGTGTTAAACATATTCAATGTGAACTGTTTCAACAGCAGGTGTCTGTCTGAAACTGGGCCTTAAGTCTTTGGAAAGGTTTCTACACAGCAGGATGAAGTATATTCCTTCTTTAGCCAACGTCTTTGTCATTGTCTTGTTTGGGCAGCCAGTGATGTGAAGCATTATTCAATACAGAAAGAGTATGACTGGCACCCAGGCTAGAATATAATGATTCTGATGTCCCCACACAGCCACCCGCTTCGGCCGGATGCCCCAGGAGGAGAGAGAGAAGCTGCTGGCTGAGTTTATGGATATGACCCCCAGGAGCCCAGAGTCAGCGGACTTGAGAGCCTTGTCCAGACAGCTGTGTCTGTCCTACCACAGACACTTTCCCCTGACCAAGAGCAGGGCCAGAGCTATCCTGTCTGGGAAGACCCACGGAAACTCAGTAAGGGCCAAATTGTTACTTGAGATACTATACAACTACATGCACAGAATCTTTAAAGTTTTGCATGAATTATGCATTGATACCAATGGAACATTTGTGATATGAGTCAGAACAAACCCATAGAAAGCCACTTTACCCCTCTCTCTCTCTCTCTCTCTCACACACACACACACACACAGACACACACACCAGACATTTGGTTCTGTATATTTGAATATCACAGTTTTTGGTAAATGCACTCTGTCCTGATGTGGTCCTCTGTAGCTCAGCTGGTAGAGCACGGCGCTTGTAACGCCAAGGTAGTGGGTTCGATCCCCGGGACCACCCATACACAAAAAAATGTATGCACGCATGACTGTAAGTCGCTTTGGATAAAAGCGTCTGCTAAATGGCATATTATTATTTTTTATTATTATTTACTGGTAGCAAAATATCAGTATACATTAGGAAGCAGTAATATTGGGTCATCTAAGTTTGTCTAAGAGGAAATAACTAATAGACAGTTATTTATACTTTAGAGAAGCAGATATATTTTCACTAACCTAAAAGTCAGGATTTTAATTTCCCTTTAATTTCCTAGTTAGATGAACCTGTTGTGCACCAAGCAAGGGGCCTAATACTGAATCACTACTGATTGCCAAGAGAATGAATGGCAATGGATGGAAACGCTTCATAATACATCATTTTTAAGGGATGTCTCTCTTTCCTTCCAGCCGTTTGTCATCCATGACATGAAGTCTCTGACGGAGGGTCAGGACTTTATAAACTGTAGACAGTTCCGTTCCCTGGAGCACCAGAGGTCTGTCCTGCCTCCTCAAGAGCCTGCTGGAGAGCTGGAGCTCTCCTTTTTCCGCCAGGTTCAGTTCCGCACCGCTGAGGTTGTACGAGAAGTCATAGAGTTTGCCAAGAGCATCCCTGGGTTCACAGAGCTGGACATGAATGACCAGGTGACCCTGCTGAAGTACGGGGTCATCGAGGTCATGTTGATCATGCTGGCGCCGCTGATGAACAAGGACGGCACACTGTTCGGCTACGGACAGATCTTCATGACCCGGGAGTTCCTCAAGAGTCTGAGGAAGCCCTTCTGTGAGATGATGGAGCCAAAGTTTGAGTTTGCGGTAAAATTCAACGTGCTGGAGCTGGACGATAGTGATATGGCGCTCTTCCTCGCCGTCATCATCCTCAGTGGAGGTGATGTTTTTCCGTTTTACATTTATGCGTTTATATTAGATAGATGCGGTAAAGAGGTCAATGGAACTCAACCCAAACGCGTGGGGGAAAGATGGCGTGGGGAAAATATCCAAAATCTCCTCATTGCCCCCCAGCAAAATTAGCCTACATTTAGGACGTTGTTTATACAATATGTGTATTTCACACTATGTTGAGGTAAAAATCGGAGTATAATGCTTGTATGGATGTCAACCCCAATACATGTTAATGTCATCGTCACCAATCAACTGCATTACAGTTCAAAATTACTTTGACTACCACCACCGATTTCTGTATGCTAGCTATTCTACCAGCTTATACGAACAGGATTTAGCATTTAGCAGTAACTTCTTCTAAACCCGAAAAGGAACTTGTAAATGTTATGCAGCAAAAACAACCAAATATATCAAAATCTAACTTTAGTAACCACATTGTGGGCCTGTTACAATACATCAATCATGACGGATTTGACAAATATCCACTTTGTTAGATCAGATTTGTTGAATGTGCGCCAATCAGGCATCCAGCTTCTATCCCCCACGGTCTGCGTTCCATTGACCTCTTTACCGCATCTATATCAACTGCAAGATTAGCTTTTTTATTGCTCAGAGATGGCTTGATTGGGTTTGAGAGCAGATATAAAACAACGGTGACCTATTTTATGCTATTTTTCTCATCAGGACATTGTAACTTCAGATCATTTGATGTATACTGTATGTCCAATCTTCCTCTATTTCCCTCCTGCCACTCTCTGGTGACCTCTAACCTTGACGTGCTCTACTCTAGACCGTCCAGGCCTGGTGAATGTGAAGCCCATCGAGGACCTCCAGGAGGCAGTACTGCAGGCCTTGGAGCTGCAGCTGAAGACCATCCACCCAGACTGCCCTCAGCTGTTTGCCAAGCTGCTGCAGAAGATGACCGACCTGCGGCCGCTGGTGGCCGACCACGTCCGCCACATCCACCTGCTCAAGAAGCATGAGCTGGAGATGTGTCTGCACCCCCTACTACAGGAGATCATGAGGGACCTGTACTAGAGTAGTGGAGACTATACACTGTGATTTATACTATACAGCAGAGGCTACTGATAATAATGGCTGGAACAACACAAATGGAATGGCATTCCCCCTTATTCCACTCCAGTCATTAACACGAGCCTGTTCTCCCCAATTAAGGGAAGATACATAGTCAGTTGTACAACTGAATGCATTCAACTGAAATGTGTCTTCCGCATATCAACTGAAATGTGTCTTCTGCGTTTAATCGTCATCCACTTCATCCGAGGAACAGTGGGTTAACTGCCTTGCTCAGGGGCAGAAGGACAGATTTTTACCTTCCTAATAAATACTTAAAGTACAGTTTAATGTTGCCATCTGCTGGTGAATATGTTAGAGATGCCATTGCTTTATGATGTTATGCAATGTCATGATATACCACTGTAGCTGAGGCAAAGCTGTCAGTGCTCATGTTAAGGTAACTTTAAAGAGCCACTGAACATGCAGATTGGCACGTGTTTTTCTGTTGCTCATTAGAAAAACGAGATTTCAGTCTTGGAGGTGTTTCCTGGCCGATTCCGCGTTTGGTTAATGATGTTTGTCCCCCACGAGACACTGTAGATGCAGAAGCCTATTTCACTTCTTCAAAATCCCCAGAATGAATCTACGATAACTCAAGAAATCGGTAATAAATGTTGACGTTTTTGACGAGGATGTTTTAGTTGCCCAATTTTACACCTTTCTAAGGTGTTTAGTGCAGTATTTTTCAAGTTAATAAATGTGCGACGTGTTGTCTTACGTAAACAGTCAGAGCTGCTGGGCAGGTCTGTCTCACTGTCTATGCTATTGGATAGAGAGCGATCGCCGCAGCTGTTCACCCCATGTTAGTGGGCAAATGGACATCGTCAAATCAAAACCCAACCTTCATTTACCAGTTGTGATGCACGGATGTTCCAAAAGTATCCTATTTACACTTTAGTAAATGTTGACACTAGAATAACTGTTTCTGACTCCTATTGATGCCACATAGGCAGTTTTCAAAGGGATTCGTTGCTTTTTAAAGGCAGTCACTCTTTAATGACTGTGATTATTGCTATACATAGTGTATTCTATCTACAATGAGATATGGCATGGTTAAAATTCTTTAGTTTATTAAAAACATAATTGGGGAAATGGTACAATAGTTATTTTGCCACAGTGAATTCATGTGCAGCACAGGTAGTAGACCTGTGGGGGGCGTTTTTAAAGGGATATCTTCACAAAGGTTGCAGAGATGGCTTTGTTGCATGTGCAAGAGGATGCTGTGTACGTGCTTGTGCTTGTAGATAGTGGATAGTGTAGCCCACTTATAGTCCCCTGGATCTGCTACAGCCCCCACTGTGTAAGGAGGGTGAATCAGAAGCATGTGTCAAAGCTATGTAGACGGCATTTCCACCAGGTGGAGCTCTTGTCACCATAGGGCCAGATCAGAATTAGATCTTTGTATTCTATTGCTTGTCTTATTTTAAGGAGTCTCTCTCTGTGGCCTGTCAGAAAGCAGAAATAGAACAGTTAAACACACACATAGCAGAACTCCACAGAAATAGCAGCCAAGAGGTCAGAAGATGGAGGTGGTTTTGGTCTTGTGTTTCACCACTTCCGATGACACCAGGGCTATTTTTCCCTTCACTGAGGTTTTCTGAGACACACATGATTCAGGAAGATACAGGAAATCACATTACTAATACTTACGCCCCGTCATCAGTCCCTGAGTTAGGTCTGATGACCATCTGAAAGGAAAACATCAGAGCCATCACACGTTATAGAACACAAAAACATAATGGTCTATGACTGCAAAATATGGTTTATAAGGCTTTTGAACATAAAGAGCTTAAACTTAAGCATTTCCCAACAGCTTCGTTGAGATTGTGTTATCATTTAGTCCCATCCTCTCTCTGCCAATAGCTATGGAGCACCTAGTTCCATTTTCCCAATGGTGGAATCCCCTAGTGGCCTGTCTAGACGGGATCCACGGTGAGATTGCACCACAATGCTACTGCAACAGCAAACATTGCACCCAGCTACAAAGTCTTGCACATGTATGAGATCCTACTGAGGTGCACAAAGAGAGTCTAATGGTGGAGATCAGTGTCTCAACGTCTTTTGTACCTGCCTGGGACAATTTTGATTAAACAAGCCCTTTACAGCAGACACAATCAGTGTAAGGCCACATTCTCCAGTGTCTATCTTTTTAATATTTATTTTAATGTAGATGCCCAAAGTCTGTGTCATCGCAATTTTTTATAGCCAACCAATGCCTGTGTTTGTGCACAGGCAACATACACTTTGATTGACAGTTATTGTTTTGAGTGAACCCAGTCCTTTTACCAGTCAGTAGCAACAAAGAACGGAAAGTGTTGAACACTTACGTTTAACTTAATTTAATTAAAATAACATCAAATTAACAACATTCTCACCACATTTACAATAAAATGTTTAACCTCCTGAAAGAGACATGGCAGACAAAATGCAAATTATTAAAGACAATTGCCCAATATCCAGCTCCTGAAGGTTTACCCAAAGAGAAGGCTGATTAAAATGTGTGGGTTACTACTGATCAGAACACTCCGCAAAGCCACGAACCAATCACATGGACCCTAGAAACATAGCCATCGCTTTTATTAAAATGTCCAAATTAAAAAATGCTTTTTTCTTCCTCAATCAGTCATGCTTGAGTGTCTGACAAGCTATCATTTTTTCCAGAATTAAGGAAAAAAAGTATAAAAGCATGAAGATGAAGACTGATAATAATTTAATATCTCTGATTTAAGACTATGTACAATCAAATACCCCTGCGAAACCGATAGATGCATCACACTGTTTTTGATAAGAATCATCCTAGAAGGTGAGGTTGTGCAGGGTATCTTGGTCTAGGCTTCATTTCCTCTTCAGGCAGGTCAGCTTAGAGAAGATCTTCTTCATAAGAAACCAGGGCAGTCAGACAGAAAGGTGTGCTTCACAGCTCAGAGATAGAGAGACTCTTATTTTTCTCTCAGGCATTTCCTTCAATGTCTCCGCCTCTCTGTCCCCAGGTAGGTGTGCTTTCTTTCACATATTTACACCTTCCACTAACTACATTGCCACTCTCTCCATTGCACTCATTTTAGCCATGGGGTAAATTACAGTAGGCCTCTGATTAACCCTATAATGTGCATGAATTTCCTTCACCGTGAATCATCTTCTCCAACCCAATGGATAGTCAATATTTTTCTCCTCTCCATACCAAAACATTCACTGGAAAAACTCAGTCAGTGACTGAAATCCCATTTTGATCCCCATCCACTGTCACTTTCAGAGGATTATTTTACCGCCAGTCCCTCCTCTTTTTCTATGCCATAGATATTTGGTGGGTGTGTGTGTGTGCGCATGCACACACGTGTGTATGTTTTGGAACAGGAACAGGTAGGAGGGACAGGTTGGGTATTGTAGTTCTAGAATACAGGCAGTCTGGTATAGGTGGAAGTGAAGGCGTTAATGTCCTCGGTGTGGGAGGCTCTGTGCAGGGAGGGTTCTGAGGCACTGCGGTTGATCTTAGGCAGGGAGTGCTGGAGCAGCTCAATGGACGACAGGATCTGGAAGAGAGAGAGAGAGAGAGAAAGAGAGAGGGGGAGATTGGATGAGTACCGGGAAGCACTCCCAGCAAATTTGGATGCCTTTGCTACAGTGCCATTTGTATTAAACTCCAAAAACCTTTCAACTCACTTCAGCCACTTTAGACATTTTCAAAATAAAGGTGGCGAGATAATGTACAGAGAAAACTCATTATCAAGTACCTGGGGGAACAGTGGCCTCTCGTCCTTGATCTTCTTGATGCAGTCGGCCACCAGCCTCTTCATGGCTTTAGGACAGCTCTTATAAAGCTTACTGAGGTCTGGCGACAGGTACCCCCGGCCCACCATGAAGATGATCTATAGAGGGAGAAGAGGGTTAGGGTTAGGAATAGAGGTCTGGAGACAGGTACCCCCGGCCCACCATGAAGATGATCTATAGAGGGAGAAGAGGGTTAGGGTTAGGAATAGAGGTCTGGAGACAGGTACCCCCGGCCCACCATGAAGATGATCTATAGAGGGAGAAGAGGGTTAGGGTTAGGAATAGAGGTCTGGAGACAGGTACCCCCGGCCCACCATGAAGATGATCTGACAGGGGAGACAGAGATGAGAGATTACAGTGTTACTGTTTTCTGTGGAGGTCACAACCAGTCACTAATAATACCTGTGAGACAATCCTTATGACAGAACTTGACTATGGCCCTCAGAGAGCGAGAGAGAGAGGTACTAGAAAGAAATAACAAACATTTGGCCAGTGGCTGAAACTGAAACTGGGTCACACAATCCTAGTTATATTTGATTTGTTAAAATCAAACAAGGCAGGACAGGTCAAGGGCCTATATCTGTCCCTACATTTAGCACAACTGAAATAGAGAGTACCGTGATTTCAGAGATGTCTGTGTGGCAGGCTGGGTTTACCTGGTCTCTGTTGGCTATCTGTGAGTATGGCAGCTCTCCCGTCATCAGCTCATGGAGGACAACACCGTAGGAGTACACGTCTGACTGGAAACTATAGGGCATGTTGTCCTGCATACGGATAACCTCAGGAGCCTGAGAACAGAGGACAGAAAAACAGACAAACATGTTTAAATTGATTTAATTTTAAATTCCAGGAAAAATAATGAGTTCATCTCAAATTCTCACAGGGTCTGGCTTCTATGTTTCATTTTCAACAGAGACAAGTCAAACAATGAACGCTGGAGTGCACGACCACCAAAACGACCACATTTTCCCACAGATTAAGAAACTGCTCCCCTTAACCCCATCTCTCAGGCCCAATCTCAACAGCAAAGAAAGTAACGTATTTTGTTCTCTAAGGGTTTTCTAGTGTGACATTTACATTTTCCTCTTACTGACCATCCACAGTATGGACCCTGAGGGTTGCTCCACCTGGTGAGAACCAGTCCACCTGGCCTTGACCGTGGCCAGACCAAAGTCTCCTATCTTCACCGTCAGGCCCTCATGTAGGAAGATATCTGTACCGCTGTCAAGGAGGCAGAGCTGTGGCAGACTGCTGAATCTGTGAGCTCATACATCATTTGTCTAATTTCAAGCCAACACTATTTTCTATTCAGTTGTGTCACAACAAAGTGACAGAGCGTGAAAATGTTTGAAGAAAAGGATACTGTTTGACTTCATGTCCCGGTGGATTATGTTTTTGGCGTGCAAATAGCTGAAAGAAATTTCAGTTGCATTTTAATAATACAAAAATATATATACACATAAGATCCTTCTAAAGCTATCACCTTTTTATAGCGTCAATCTCAAGCCAACACCCTTGTAAACCTAGCATTCCTATAGAACTGTAAGTAGCACCAATCTACACCTAAGCTTGTCCCTGCTTGTCTACAACCACTGTGATTATTTTTTACCCTGCTGGTCATCTATGAAGGTTTGAACATCTTTGAGAAAAATCTGGCCTTAATGGCCATGTACTGTTATAATCTCCACCCGGCACAGCCAGAAGCAGACTGGCCACCCCCTCAGAGCCTGGTTCCTCTCTAGGTTTCTTCCTAGGTTTCTGTCTTTCTAGGGAGTTTTTCCTAGCCACCATGCTTCTACATCTGCATTGCTTGCTGTTTGGGGTTTTAGGCTGGGTTTCTGTATAGCACTTTGTGACATCTGCTGATGTAAAAAGGGCTTTATAAATACATTTGATTGATTGATTGAGTGATTGATTGATTGATTGGACTCACTCCATGCCCTGAGCTGTCTGCCTGGCGATGTCTATGAGCTGGAACATCTGGAAGTTGGTCTCCTGGACGTGAAGGTGTTTGTAGAGGCTGCTGCCATCACACCACTGGGTCACAATGGCCAGGTTGTCCTTCGTCATGTAGCCCATGAACAACAGGATGTTGACGTGTCGTGTTTTCCTGTGGCCAAAGAGAAGGAGAGAGAGAGATAGAGACAGCGAGAGAGAGAGCGAGAGAGAGAGAGAGGAAGAGGAAATCACTAAAACAAAGATGAGATAATGCTGCATGAAGATAATCTACCAACAACAAACACATTATTGGGTCAATGTATTGCTCTCTCTAAAGTGATGAATACAATAAGAATATCACTATAGGGAAACAGAAAGCCTAGTGGTTTGAGTGTTGGGCCAGTAACCGAAGGGTTGCTAGTCAAACAAGGTGAAAAATCTTGAGCAAGGCACTTAACCCTATAGGGGTCGCTGTTGATAATGGCAGACCCAGGCCATGACCCCACTCTCTGAGAGTGTCTCAGGGGGAGTTGGGATATGCAAAAAACACATTTCCAATTAATACACACTTGTACATGTGTGAAATAGGACAAATATAAGCACCACCAAATTATTATTATTATTATAGTTCTCCTCACTACTCTCACCCTCTCTTACCTAAGGACAGCCACCTCGTTTCTGAAGGCCTGGAACTGCTCTGGCGTGGGGTCAATCACCTTTAGGATCTTCACCGCTACGTCACCTACAACAGACAAACAATGTGGTACAGAAACTGTCTAAGCTGCTGTGTGGCCATGTAGACTAGGCTCAGTACAAGTGTTGAAGCCAACTCATAGATCCAGAACTCCTCACAAACCTTTGTAGACCTTCGTAACAGCTTACAGCATTACCAAGCATTACAAGCATTGTGTTTATCCAACAGGTGCCATCCAGAAGCATGCTCACCGTGCCATTTCCCTTTGTATACCGTTCCGAAGGAGCCTGAGCCGATACGGGAGTGCAGCACCACTTCACTGGCCTCGATCTCCCAGTAGTAACTGGAGTCCCGCTTGTCCCTCGGACGCTGCAGTGGGATAGTCAATATAAGGCCACATTCTCCATCTACAGTAGATCTTATATATAATTCACCTACACTCTTACAAAAAAAGGTGCTATCTAGAACCTAAAAGGGTTCTTCGGCTGACCCCATAAGAGAACCCTTTGAAGAACCCTTTTTGGTTCCAGGTAGAATCCTATTGGTTCCAGGTATAACCCTTTTGGGTTCCATGTAGAACCCTTTCCACAGAGGGTTCTACATGAAACACAGAATGGTTCTACCTGGAACCAAAAAGGGTTATTCTATTGGGACAACAGAATAACCCTTTTGGAACCCTTTTTTTCTAAGAGTGTAGGAATTAAAAGTACTATTAAGATGCTATTCATTCACAGTAAGTGTACAAACTACAGGGGCTGTCTAACTTACTATTTTGTGTTTCTCCTGAGTGTTGAATGAAGGAGCCCTCTCTCGTCTGTCTGGCGCTGGGGTGTTAGACTGGGGATGGGACCAGCCTGTGGGACTCTGGCTGGGGGAACTCCCACCTAGTTATGACAGAAAGTGTTGTTGTGGGATGTTGTGCATGTTTCCTTTAGCTTAGCAGAAACTGAGCCACTAATGTGGGGTAACGACCTTATAAAATCTTACCTGAGTCATGATTACGCATTGCTTCATGATTACGCATTGCCTCCTAGGAAAAAAAAATATATATTATTTCAGATTTTACAAATATCAAATGAACACAAGTCATTCAACAGTTTCATCATTCAGTTAGATACAGAAACTGTAAAAGCATGTGGATACTAGTCTGTTGAAAGGCATGCCATGTTGTTTATCACACAACACTCTGACACTCTGCCTCCTAACCTTGTCTGGGCTCTCTGACGTCGCTTCAACAAAAGAGTTGGAGAAGCGAACAATACCTACTCTCCTCTTCAGCCAGAAGCGCCTGCACCAGGAGCTAGGGGAGGTATTCAGATAATCTAGCTACTCCCCATCAGGGCACCACACAGTGAGACAGTGAGGACAGGGAAGGAAAGGGAGACAGAGTGAAGGAAGGTAAGAGAGGAATTATAGAGTGCTACCACGGGTGTTACATTTTGTGGGCATATTAGATACAGCATTCAAGTTATAATTTTTCCAAATACATCCGGGTATGGAAATGAATGAATCAGAAAGGAATACAGTAAAGTGCAGGATATAAAAGTGAAATGAAACACAATCAAGGAAATCATGCAAAGTAAATTGTCATCATGCTAGATGAATTACTTAGTAGAAAGAGTAAGGGGGATGGAAAGATTACAGAAGTTAGGCAGAGAAGATGGTTGAGATTCCTGCCATGTAAGAAGGGCCAGATCGGGCAAGGAGGTTATTTTAAGATAGCTGCCTGGACCTCCAGGAGTCCCTTGGGGGCCCGCGTGGTGTGTTGTTACCTCGATCATGCTGCTGTCGACTGGCATGGTGGTGCTGACCATGTGGACATTGGGCGTGGAGGTGGAGCGTTGCCTCTGGGACAGAGCACCCCCTGTGGGTGGGTAGGGGGCAGTGTAGTTGAAGGCGTGAGGGGTGGAGCAGCGGTGCAGAGAGCTGATGGGTGAATAAAGGGGCAACATCAGGCTTAGGAAAAGTAGGGACACTGAACATAACACAACACATTAAGTGCATCAGTAAGGTAGAATAATGTCATGGTTTTGTCATGACAATTGTTTGGATAATCAAGGATCAAATATTATTACAATAATTTAATAATTACTATTGTTGTTAATCTTAGTCTGAGACAGTCCTCAAACAGATACCATTGAGGTGCTCTTCTAATGCAATTTTTTTTTTTTTAAAGAACACTTCTTATAATCAATCTCACAGGGGTGTGGTGGATGGCAGCTTGTCAGTTTCATTTCTGACATTATGTGAATTTTTTCTCAGGCACACCCTAGAACACCCTCACTGTGTGACATGGTTAGAAGACAGTTTCTGTTTCAGGCGTTTCAGGCAGTGACAGTTTGACACATCTCAACATCTATCCTCTACTTTCTAGATAGTTGAACAAACACAGTCATGAACACATTGAGATTCTACAAAATTCAATAACAGGAAAATGTTCTAGGTCATTCTACAAATACTACCCCATTCACTAGGGGAAGTATTTCAACCTCAGTGTTTGCCAAGTATTTGCTATGATGTTACGCTACAAAGCTCACCAGTCAAAGTTAGCACAAATCCTACCAAAACATTTCACATTGTACAGGTGTGGGATCTTAATTTGACCAGTATTGTCGCAGCAAAAGAATCCTGCAGCAACAGGATTTTAACATTCCCACTTTTCCCGCCGATGTAATGTTTAATCTGTGATTAGGCTATTAGCTGGCCAAAATTGGGCTACATGAAAAGTGCAATACTGTTAATATAACCGTTTGTTAGTGCGGGAGATGTACATATATTTCAGTGAATTTATGTAAATCTCGACGCTCATCTGCATTTCCTGCGGCGCAGGGAAATTCTCAGCGACAACAGAATGATCAAATTAAGATCCAATATCTGTATAACTATCAGAGTAATACATATTTCACAATAACTTGAAGGGAAAGGTTATGGGTTTTGCTTTCCTGCATGTGTCTTGCCTTTCTAGGAGCCTATGCAACTCATGATTGCTAGTTGGCCTTTCAGAATGGTGGTAGGTGACAATTCTCCTTGCACTCTCATTAAAGGTCTTGTTGATTCAGTAATTAGTGTGATGCTGGTCTTGGTTCACTGCTGACTGGAAAGTATATTGTACTGTACTGTCAGTTGCTGGTAAAAGTGGCACTCCATGCGAGTGACATACCATACTGTATTAGACCACACTTATAACCCTGTAAAGCACTCTATGAGAACAAATCCCCCTTTTGGCCAAAACAGGACTTTGTTTTGAAGAGCATTTGAGATTGTTCTGCGAGCTAATTTGGCAACGATCTGAGTGCTTTAAACTGTTATAAATGCTTCTGAAACAACAGCCTCTTTTCACGCCTCTGGTTACATAAGCCCCCTGGACGGTGAAAGCTTCATAAAGCTGGAGACATAATCAAAAACAGGCATTGATTCGGTTTGAGGCCCGGGTTAAGGTGCTTTACAGCTGCATCAGCTGAGGGCCAGTCAAACATGGCAACCAAAGAACCCTTTACATTTGGCCACCATTACCTCCGAGAGCCAAAGTACTTACTACACCTTACCGTACTGTAGTTAAATCAATTATTACCACACGCAACCTTTAGTTGACGTTAAATGGTATGTCAAGAGGAATACTTTTACTGTACTTGTAGTTATTTGATTGCTGATGCTGTGTTGCTGCCTGGAGATAGCCTTGCTCACAGTACCAGGGTGAAAGTGGTCCATGGGAGTTGCAGAGTTCAAGAGCAAGAGGGGTTGCTTTACCTGCTGGGGAGTCGGGACAGCGATTCTCTCATTCGCCGAGAAGTAAGAGGAGGAAGAGATGGACCCCCACTTTCACCTGGTGTAGGGAACAACCTAAGAGAGAGACGATGAGAGAGAGAGATGATGAGGAGATAATGATAGAGAGAGAGAGAGAGAGAGAGAGAGAGAGAGAGAGAGAGAGTCGAGCTAGAGAGAGAGAAGACTAGCAAGATATCTAGATCATCGATCTGCCTCTCTCTATAGAGCGCTCATCTACTCTCTCTCGCTTTATAGCCCGCTAGCGCTCGAGAGTCAGAGTTTGAAGTTGTATTTTTAGTCCATATGTATCAGGAAGGGGAGCGAGAGAGAGAGAGAGAGAGAGAGAGTTTGAAGTTGTATTAGTCATATGTATCAGGGAAGGGGAGCGAGAGAGAGAGAGAGAGAGAGAGAGAGAGAGAGAGAGAGAGAGAGAGAGAGAGAGACTATCAACCACCAACCATCTGTTTAAAATACTTCAGGATAAAGACAGCACCATGAAAGGTTGCCAGATAAAATGACAAATGTATCTCTTCATTGCCAGTGATAGCCATTTACAAATGCTTATTGTTGAAATATGGAGTTCTAAAGCCTGCATGCAAAACAATGCTCTATGTAAATATCTATCTACAATGCAGACTGTGAGACTACCACATTCATTTATCTTACTTAGCTCCTATGTTAGTATGTTCATTACATTGTTTATTCACCCATTGCTGTATACTTGTACTGTTAATATTTATATTGTTTTGTGTTCTTGCTATTCCATACAGTTATGTGTTAGCAGCCATTTTGATTTGTGCTGCACAGTAGAGGAGAAGAGACTTACAGGAGCTGTCTGATGTTGCTCCAATCCACACACATCGTGGGCACTTTGGTGCTGCAATGCTCATGGAATTTGTAGCCGCATGTTTGGCAACGGAAACCGTTCAAAAGGAACTTCTGGCATATATCGCAGAAGGCCAACTTCAGAAATGTTTTCCGAACCTGAAAGTTAAAGAGGAAAATGAAGTATTTCATTCTTTTCCAGCCGATGCTAACGGCCTGGGTAAACAGTGTAACATCCTTTATGGCAGGGGTGTCAAACATACGGCCATTCAAACCAGCCCGCAGATTTTTGTTTCTTCAATGTTGTTTTTGGGGGTAAAAATGATCTTAATCGACATTGAAATGACTAAAACCTAATCGAAACTGTGTAGAAATGTATAGTCTTTATACTCTCTACATTTATAGACTTTTCACTCTGTCCAGCTTGCTAACCGTTATCGAAACGAAAGCTAAGCTAGACAGTCAGGGAGCATCAAAAATACAAAAGCGATGGATAGAGGACTATTTTGTGCAAATGTTTACGACAAGGAAATATAATACATTTTAAGTGCGTCCCTCCAGACCTCGGTGAAGACCAAATGCAGCCCGCGGGGCAAAATGAGTTTGAAACCCCTGCTTTATGGGCTACTTACAAAGTTGTGCGTCGTCAAGGGGACATGATCTAAAACTTCCACCAGCAGTTCTTCCCCAATTAGTGAGGTCGAGTCGGTATTCCAATCCATACGTGACTTTTTACTGTTAGAAAAGGGACATTTACATTTACATTTTAGTCATTTAGCATGACACATTAAGTAAGGTAACACATACTGGAGGGCACAGACTGACACAACTAGCCTTTACAAGAAAAGGTCATTCAACATGTCTTAGCCTGAAAGGTTGTATAGCTGTAGAAATCTCTTTGCAGCAAAGTTTAACCACATCCCTGGAAAAATAAAACACTTTCTTACAGCATCATATGGACCTACCTCAAGGTAGAAGTTGCCCCTAACCACAGATCTAGGATCAGCTTGCCCCACCCCCAATCCTAGTTTTTAACCTTTGGTGGGTGAAATAATACCTCACCCGGTATCAGTGGTTAGGGCTCATTTTTACCTACACTGCAGAGATCAAGTGACACCCCTCTGATCCCCCTGCCCCAGTGCCCAGTGCATACCTCCTCTGTCCTGGGTACAGTCTGAAGACAGCACAGCACTCCGGTTGCAGGCCCCGCACCTTCAGCGCTTTGATCAGGCAGCTGTGCAGGGTCATACCTGGCCTCACGTTCACCTGAGGGACCACAACAAACACACTCAACAACAACAACAACACTTACTGGGACCAGTGAAAACATAAACATGTGCATAATATATTCTCTTTTGGGATAATGGGATGATTTGGAATAATGGTATGCCCTTTGGTCTGTGTATGATGATGATAATCAATTTAGGTAGCAATTTTCCACTAACAGACTGCCACACTGCACTTAGGTGACTCAGTTAATTAAGCACCCACTCAAACAAACATTAGTGCAGCAGTGTATTGTTGTTTCCATAATCCCACTCACTCATTGTCCCCTGAACTACTGTATTTCATTGTTTCCATTTGTTTAGTGTCCATGGGTGTTTTGAAAGGCTATTCAAATGAAATGTACCATTAGTAATGTACTATTATTATTATTGTTCTAATGGACTCACCACCGTGCGCTGCTGGTTGGGGAGGTAGACGCGGATGGTGCTGCTGGTCTTGGAGTCGGGGATCTTGCTGTCGTCGGAGGAGCGGCGCTGGGAGGGGAGGCCCTGCACCATGGTCGGGGAGAGGCAGGGGCCCTCAAACACAGAGTCCTTCATCCCAAAGCCGTTGCTCAGGGTCTTCCACGCTCCCTGGAGGTGCTCCATCAGCAAACACTAGTGCTCTCAGTGCTCTGGGGAAATAGTGGGAGTCAAAGTGTTGGGTTGGAATTCATCACATACAGTGAGGGAAAAAAGTATTTGATCCCCTGCTGATTTTATATGTTTGCCCACTGACAAAGAAATGATCAGTCTATAATTTTAATGGTAGGTTTATTTGAACAGTGAGAGACAGAATAACAACAACAAAAAACCTGAAAAACGCATGTCAAAAATGTTATAAATTCATTTGCATTTTAATGAGGGAAATAAGTATTTGACCCCCTCTCAATCAGAAATTATTTCTGGCTCCCAGGTGTCTTTTATACAGGTAACGAGCTGAGATTAGGAGCACACTCTTAAAGGGAGTGCTCCTAATCTCAGCTTGTTACCTGTATAAAAGACACCTGTCCACAGAAGCAATCAATCAATCAATCAGATTCCAAACTCTCCACCATGGCCAAGACCAAAGAGCTCTCCAAGGATGTCAGGGACAAGATTGTAGACCTACACAAGGCTGGAATGGGCTACAAGACCATCGCCAAGCAGCTTGGTGAGAAGGTGACAACAGTTGGTGCGATTATTCACAAATGGAAGAAACACAAAATAACTGTCAATCTCCCTCGGCCTGGGGCTCCATGCAAGATCTCACCTCGTGGAGTTGCAATGATCATGAGAACGGTGAGGAATCAGCCCAGAACTACACGGGAGGATCTTGTCAATGATCTCAAGGCAGCTGGGACCATAGTTACCAAGAAAACTATTGGTAACACACTACGCCGTGAAGGACTGCTGTAGCTCAATTGGTAGAGCATGGCGCTTGTAACGCCAGGGTAGTGGGTTCGATCCCCGGGACCACCCATACGTAAAAATGTATGCTCACATGACTGTAAGTCGCTTTGGATAAAAGCGTCTGCTAAATGGCATATTATTATTATTATTAAGGACTGAAATCCTGCAGCGCCCGCAAGGTCCCCCTGCTCAAAAAGCACATATACAGGGCCGCCTGAAGTTTGCCAATGAACATCTGAATGATTCAGAGGAGAACTGGGTGAAAGTGTTGTGGTCAGATGAGACCAAAATCGAGCTCTTTGGCATCAACTCAACTCGCTGTGTTTGGAGGAGGAGGAATGCTGCCTATGACCCCAAGAACACCATCCCCACCGTCAAACATGGAGGTGGAAACATTATGCTTTGGGGCTGTTTTTCTGCTAAGGGGACAGGACAACTTCACCGCATCAAAGGGACGATGGACAGGGCCATGTACCGTCAAATCTTGGGTAAGAACCTCCTTCCCTCAGCCAGGGCATTGAAAATGGGTCGTGGATGGGTATTCCAGCATGACAATGACCCAAAACACACGACCAAGGCAACAAAGGAGTGGCTCAAGAAGAAGCACATTAAGGTCCTGGAGTGGCCTAGCCAGTCTCCAGACCTTAATCCCATAGAAAATCTGTGGAGGGAGCTGAATGTTCGAGTTGCCAAACGTCAGCCTCGAAACCTTAATGACTTGGAGAAGATCTGCAAAGAGGAGTGGAACAAAATCCCTCCTGAGATGTGTGCAAACCTGGTGGCCAACTACAAGAAACGTCTGACCTCTGTGATTGCCAACAAGGGTTTTGCCACCAAGTACTAAGTCATGTTTTGCAGAGGGGTCAAATACTTATTTCCCTCATTAAAATGCAATTCAATTTATAACATTTTTGACATGCGTTTTTCTGGATTTTTTTGTTGTTATTCTGTCTCTCACTGTTCAAATAAACCTACCATTAACATTATAGACTGATCATGTCTTTGTCAGTGGGCAAACATACAAAATCAGCAGGGGATCAAATACTTTTTTCCCTCACTGTAGCAATGTTTACGCAGTGTCTGTCTTCATTCCATCACAACTCCAACACATTTCTTATTCTGAAAACTAGCTGAGAAAACTAGAAAGGAGTCGTAGTAGCTAGTAGGATTTGACAGTCCTCCAAAACATTCTGTGATTTGATTTGACCATGGGAAAAAGAGTACTGTCAATACAGCAATGGTCCTATTAGGGCTGTGGCGGTCATCACATTTTGTCAGCCGGTGATTGTCAAGCAAATGACTGCCGGTCTCACGGTAATTGACCGTTAATTAATTTTACACTAAACACATTTAGTATCTCCTGGCTTCCATGCATAGTCTACAAGCCAATGATGCAGACCTTTGGAACATGTACATTTTAAAAAGTCTAATAAATCCAATTAATTTAGCCTACACCATCACAATAAATCCATTATTTATTTTAGACAGGTCTAAAGAAACATGATATGAAGAAAATGTAGTCTATTTCAGAAGAACAGAATAGCATACTCTGAGTTGTCCTTATGTTAGGTCCTGATCTGGCTATGCCATATGGCTCTGGGCTACACTAGTTCATTTAGCAGACCTTTTTTTTTTTTGAATTCTGTGCCATTATTTTATATTATTTTATAGTATGAAGAATACAATTGAACTCCAGCCGACGCTTGGCATTGCACATGGTGATCTTAGGCTTGTGTGCAGCTGCTCGGCCATGGAAACCCATTTCATGAAGCTCCCGACAAACAGTTATTGTGCTGACGTTTCTTCCAGAGGCAGTTTGGTACTCGGTAGTGAGTGTTGCAACTGAGGACAGACGATTTTTACGTGCTACGCACTTCAGCACTCGCCGGTCCCGTTCTGTGAGCTTGTGTGGCCTACCACATCGCAGCTTAGCCGTTGTAACAGCACTTACAGTTGACCAGGGCAGCTCTAGCAGGGCAGAAATTTGACAAACTGACTTGTTGGAAAGGTGGCATCATATGACAGTGCCAGTGAGGCCATTCTACTGCCAATGTTTGTCTATGGAGATTGCATGGCTGTGTGCTCGATTTTATACACCTGTCAGCAATGGGTGAAGGGGTGTCGACCTACTTTTGTATTTATAGTGTATCTGTGAATAACAGATGCATATTTGTATTCTCAGTCATGTGAAATCCATAGATTAGGGCCTAGTGAATGTATTTAAATTGACTGATTTCCTTATATGAACTGTACCTCAGTAAAATCTTTGAAATTGTTGCATGTTGCATTTATATTTTTGTTCAGCGTAGTATAATTGATAATATATGATTTATAGTGTATGGCTACATTTAATTTGCTCTTTTAAACCTACCCTTTGGAATAACTTCAATAGCAACAGTTTATCTATTTAGTTATTAAGAGATCTCTCAATAATCATTCTCATGATAGCACATTGGTAGTAGTCAGTGGCAAATATCAAACCTTGATGGGTAACAGTAGCTGTAGAATAGATCAACTCTCAGTAGCAGGTTCTGCTCAGCCTATTGTTTTTTTCTGATAGTGGATATAACGTTGAAGATCTGACGTTGTTTCAAATGTACAAATCTAACATATGTTATACAAGGTTTGTCTATGTTGAAAATTGGTTTCCATGATGACATAATACTGTGGTTAAAATACACTGGATTTGCAAATCCAGTGTTTTGTGCCCAGCTACATATTCCATCTTTCAAAAAAAAAGTAGAGATGACAAATGACAATGTGTTATAGAATGAGAATATAATGTATTATATGCAATGCATATACATTTTACAAAATAAGTAAATATATTTGTGCAGGAGAATAGTGGTAGAAATGACTGAACTCAGTCCTCTAATTTACAAGTTTAGAGTCTATTTTCAACTCTTCCTCTAAACACTGATTGAAATAGCATAGACAATGCCACGCTGTCTCAAATCTGACAGTAGCCTTTCTAGGGCCCTTTTCTGTAAGATCCAAACTCCTTCATCAACCCGAAACTTTAGACAGATCTATCACCATTTTCCTATCACATTAAATAAACATATTTGTTCTACTGAGTCCAACAAGACTCACATTGATCTGGCTCGGGAGAAAGACGACAGCTGCAATCCAATTTTGTGCAGAATTAATGGCACTGCCAGAGCAAACTTACCAACACAAGCTAGAAAACTTCAGCTCCGCCATAACTTGAGCAAAATGTGGAGTCGATGACATCGTCATATTTGCAACGCATTCAGAGAGAAAATCCAAAATGTTGAGCCCGGAAAGAAAGTAACAATGTATCAAAATATCAAACCATTCCAAACCATGAAATAATATCCCACATGAAGGGCACCCCGATGTGTTACTCAACCAATCCCTAAAAAGATATTTAGCCTTCCTTTCATTACTTACCCTGAGTGAGAGAAAAAAATACTAGCCTACAAATCCAACAGAGACACCTTCCCAAAGTCACATGTGAATGACACTCTACAACCGTCCGGTTCTATTAGGTTGATGCCAAATTAAAACTCTCAAAAAGTGGTTGTAGTTATGTTGTTCAAATACCAATCAATATTTACGGCGATAAACAGAAGGTGAAAGAGTTTGAGTTCATGACGTGCGCCTGCCTGACGCCAGTGATTGAAACAGGACCCCACAGTCATAACAACAATTTCAGCCTTACAATTTACTGCGCAATTATGAGGACACAAATTTAAGCCAGCCCACCCACTCTGACACTATGATATTTACTTTTTATGTCAATAATTAGTGAAAAGTAAACAAAGTCCAAAAAGTTGAGGTGTAGCCTAATAGAAAACAACCACACTTATGTTATTAATGCATTATGAATGTGTGATACAGGTTGGGCACTGACAGACGAAACACAAATAAGACAAGATTTAGCCTAGCTATTGGCATTCAGGATGATTAAAATGTGTGTTGAGATTGCAGTAGGCAGACTTTTCACCAAAATATCTATCAAATATCACCATTCTATCAAAACCTGAAACAAAAATGATATTGCTCAATTGCAAACATCTGTGAATCTGTGCAATGTATGGTGAATCAGCATAACATGCAGGCAATTATATTATTCAATCATTTTTGTAGACTATATATGCTTTTATTCAGTTGCAGAATGAGAAATCCATCAAAAGAATAACAAGCACCCCATCATCTGGTAAAAAGAAGGCACTACCCATAGCCTAGTCAGGTGAACATCTACAATTAGGCTATATTTTTAGGCCTGTCTTTTTGACAAGAGATTTTATAATCAGGGTTACTAGATATAGATAAAACCTGCTTGGTGACTTGAAATAGATAAAACCTGCTAATCATTTGAACTTGAATATCAAAATATACTGCATCTATCTTATTTGAGTCATGCTGTTCTCATCATTAAATAGATTCCTTTCTCATTGCAAAGAAAAAGCTTTAAAGTGTTTGCTCTTAAATGGAGCAATAGGATCTTAGGATCCTATCTTACTTTCAAACCTTCTACTCACCATGTGTTCAAGATCAGGTCCCCAGACAAAGGTCCCCTGAGGTAGATGACGACATCGAAGACCCCAGAGTTCTATTGAGGAGAAAGATCAGAGCTTTGGTGATGTGGCTCTCCTCACCAGCACAGACCAGCAGCCTGCTCTCCTTGATGCTATGGGCACACACTGAATGTAAGGGCAGATGACATCCTTATCAAAAATACTATAATCATTCTAATTTCATAGCTGCATATTATATAATCTCTCTCCAGTCAAATGCTCACCATTTTCTGATCATATATTTGATTTAATCTCATTCCAAAAATCTCCATTCCAACAACTACCTAATTCATATCCTGACAGCAACAAATACCAGGAAATACCAATGCAAACACTTTGTATGCAGCCTAAGAGGAAGAGGGGAGGGCTTTGTCACTGTAAGATCTTAAGGTATCCCATTAGGATGCAGTCTAATCATCCATCCCAGTGCAGTCAGCTGCAGTGTTGGGAGGAAACCAGGAAAACATTATTTCAGGGAAAAGTGTCCAGTCACTGGTATTCACTAAACCAAAATTATGCCATTTAATTTAGAGAATCTAGAGTCTTGATAAACAATGTAATTAAGGGTTTCAATATCCCACATCACCCTAGTGAAATTGGCCTATCCCTTCCACGTTCATGACTGTGCATGCCACCTTAAGAGAAGGATGATTGCATCTTTCCCACTTATTGATCTGACCATGCACTCAGAGCAGTGAGCTGAAATGCTTAGCCTCCATGATTCAGTGTAATGTCTGTCTCACTGATCAGCACTGTGTTCAAATAGCCTACCTATGATGCAACCTCTGTGTGGAACGGGGATGGGTCAATCTGCATCCATTTATCCCATACACTAATATTCTTACACTTTATAGACCCTTTTACCTTATATCAAAATGATCCACGGTCATTGGCTATGCTCAATAGTGAATAACAAATAATTGTATTTGATTGATTGCCTGCATGCTCATGAGAAGACTGGTGTCAGTTAACACTGATACATAATATGTATTGTAGCCTACATACAGCTCTTTTAATGGAATATTTGGAGGTGGAAAGCTATTAGAATAAAGCCAAAGAGGAATGATAAGTTCTTAGGCTACATGATTGTATTAGGCTACAATTGTAGCAATTCTACGTTTAATATATGTCAAATGAAACATCAAAAGATGACAATATGAGATCACCTTTGATTTGACAGCAGACAGCAGGAACGGGAAACCTGGGAGGCGGGACATGATTGCTGTCTTGTTCAGTGATTCGCCACTCCATGGAGGTGGTGTCCAAGCGCGCTCGTTTGCCATTGGTCCTGGAAAAAGACCATGCCCAAGTGCTGCGTTAGCGTTGACTGGATAGTGTGAATGATCACTAGAAACTCGTGTTCACACCGCATGTGGCGCAACGGAGTGAGGAGGCGTAAACAGCAGAGAATCTCGTAGCGAGGTAAGGTGAGTAATAAAAACATTTAAATATAAAAGATCACAGTATTTGTATTATGTTCGACCTTAGCTAATGTATCAAACTTAGAAGCGCCATAAAATGAATCTCCGAAATCATGTGTTTTCATGGCGATAATGGCTCGCTGATGTTAGCATTAGCCTTTCTAACGTTATTGGGTCCGTCCGTGGCCTAACTGCTACTTCGACTAGGTCGTTATGCGCGGGAAATTAGCCCTATTAAAATTATAATTTTGCCTCATTAAAATATGGCCAATGAATGTGTCTAACAATATACTATTGAAACTAAGAATTTGTGAATGTGGTTGATGACTGCAATTTTTTAAATGTTGAATGGCTGCTGCGCGGCCTAGCAATGCCACATTCAACAGAGGTGGTGTTTGCATTTTGCTACAGCCAGAAACTGCTGCAATCTCAACGTGACAAGGCCAGAAGGCCTCATGCACTGGTAATGCTTTTACCGAGGATAACTACCTTTTTAATGGATCTGCATAGAAAGTACCTCGGTAGATCAAATTGTCAGGGAGAATAAGCCATATTTTGCAGTTAACCAGGTTTGTGTTCGCTAGGTAGCTAGCATTGCTAATGTTAATCAACTAGCCAGACGTGACATGTGTTTCATTAGCTAACTTACCGACGTTGCTAGCTAGTTTGCTAGCTATCTACGCTAACATTGTAGGGTAACGTGTTAGGCCCTTTCATAGTTTATACCCGCATGTCAGCTTGCTCAAGCAGGGGTAGCCATGACCAAACCACCACGAAATGTAAATAATTTCAGGTGGCATATGGATAATTCTTTTTGACATTTTAGAGTAGTAGCCGCTAGCTAGATACCACCCACTGGGCAAAAACTGGTTGAATCAACTTTGTTTCCACGTTATTTCAGCCTAAAACAAATTGTGATTATGTTGAATCAACGTGAAACTAAGTAGTTTTTAAAAGTCATGCGCAGGAGGAAATTGTATTTTTACCACCCAACTTTTAACCTAAATCCAATGACATCAAATTTTTTTTTGAATTCACGTTAGTTGACAATTGGACCAAAAGTAAAAACAAAACTAGAAGTTGAAATGATGTCTGTGGGCAGGGCTGATAAGGCTAACAGCACATGGTTGATTGAGGTGGTCAGTCACTTGATTGAGTTGGTAACAAGCCATGGATGGGCCCAACTTTTATTGGCCAACCCTGACCTTTGCCTCCATTGTTGATTGTATCATTTACCATACCCTTAGAATTCCTGCCTCTTTGGAAATGACTAGCCAAAAGTGTGGTTTTAGTTGAAGTCTTTTCTGTTTTCTCTGCAGATATGGAGATGAGCAGCAGCAGTGAGTGCTTCCGATGTGGCCGTCCTGGGCATTGGATCAAAAACTGTCCTGAAGCTGGGAGTGGGGGGCGTGGCCGCGGCAGGGGAAGAGGAAGAGGAAAGGGTACCTTTCTTGGTTTTTGGGACACACCCTCACATTCTGCACAGTGTGTGAGACTGGCTTGTCAAGCAGAGATGTATGAACAATTCTCAGCAGCTGCCTTAAGTTTGCTGAGCACAAAGGCCTTTTCCTATGGGGAATGACCTGTGTTATTGGCTGCTTTCAGGGTTTTCACATAGTCCTATCACTTCGCTACCACTGGGATATCAAAACGACAAAGCATGGTTGTCTTAGTCACATCTATTACGTGATTATGTTGGTTTAGTTCACAATCGCATAGTTCAATGTCAAACGACATGGCAGCAAAACGATACATGTTCCTCCTCAGTTAGGGTTGCCAGTGTTTTTTCTCTTTCACAGATGAGTAAAGTAAACCTCTGCGTCACCTTTCCTCTTCTAGATCTGTTTTGCTATCGCTGTGGAGAGCAAGGTCACATTGCCAGGGACTGTGAACAGACCGAGGATGGTGAGAATAATTTTCTTTCCTTTATTGAATGCTAAGTACATGCCAATGGTTTTGTCAACACAACTCCTGGTTTTCGTAACGTTAAACTTGTAGTTCCAATATGGACTTGTTCAGCTTTACAGTGAGCAATAGTTGTAGCCTTCTTGTGACTGTCACTATGTACTAGGTCCTACTGTTATTCAGGATCTGGGGACACATGGTATTTCAGAATGTTTATTACATGTTACAAACATTGTATAAAACAAATTCTTGTTTGAATAATGGTATTTTGAAAGATATGTATTAATAATTGATAGCCATGCCGTTGTTAATTGCTTTGAAGTAGTTCTGACAAAATGCCATATTACATGTTAATTTTAAGAACAAATCTTTAACATACAACTTTTTTCTTTCTCCTCAGCCTGCTACAACTGCCACAGGAGCGGCCATATTTCCAGGGACTGCAAGGAGCCCAAAAAGGAGAGGGAGCAGTGCTGCTACAGCTGTGGCAAGGCTGGCCATGTGGCCCGTGACTGTGACCATGCCAACGAGCAGAAGTGCTATTCCTGCGGAGGCTTCGGGCACATCCAGAAACTTTGCGATAAAGTCAAATGTTACAGGTGAGTGGCCACTTAGGACAAATATATTTGTAAAACAATGTTTGTAATAAATACACATGGTAACTACTCATACTTGCATGTTCCCATGTACAGAGCAAACTTGACTAACAACTGCTGAAAGCACAAACACACAACGCGTTTCGACAAGTCTTCTCGAGAGTGACATGCAGTCTCTGGTACCCCCTTCTTTTGGGGACATAAATGGTTCTACTGTAGTCTTAACTTATAGGCATGTATATACCTGAAGTGGCAAGCTTTCAAGTAGTTATGCTGTGTATGAAGATATATGTATGTTTGTGCTGTGTATATGGTCCTTCCGCTTTTTGTTTCCAGTTTAGTTCCCTTCTCCGCCGAAGCCATGTAAATGTTAACGCTTATGCTTGGTCAACTGAAATCCTAATGTTTTCTCTCCTCTTTCCAGGTGTGGCGAGATCGGCCATGTGGCTGTGCAGTGCAGCAAAGCCAGTGAGGTGAACTGCTACAAATGTGGCAACACCGGCCACCTGGCGAAAGAGTGCACCATCGAAGCCACCGCATAATCAGTGCCCTTTGTTGCCCCTCCTATTTTTTCTGATTGATGGTTGGTTGTATTATTTTTCTCTGAAGCCTCTTCACTGGCCAAAGGTTGGCTGACAGAGGCTAGTCCCGGGCCAGTGAGCCTCTCAACATGTAATATGAAGAAAGGGGTGGGAAAAAAAAATATCTTTCTGCATTCAATACAAAAAATGTTTGTTTAGTTTGGTAGCGGTGTTATGTATAATGCTTTGTTAAAGAATCCCCCTTTCCAAGCCACTGGTGAACAGAGATGAATGAATGGGACTAAATATATGGGATATAGAGGACCTCTGGGCTTGTGGAAAGCGAGTCTCAGTAAGAAGGGAGTAAAAAGAAACCTGAACTTCCATGTATGGTTATTTTTGGTTTGTTTTAGTGGGATAACATATGAGTTGGCCAAGAGAGTATGACATGGGAAACAGTTCACAACATATGAGCCGTTTGCATCTGGGCCCTACAAGCAGCAAAGTGCCGGGCGATAACAAACTGCATGTTATATCGATAAATGCCATTACATTTTGGAAGAATTTAAAGAATCTACTGTTCTTTTATAAAAAGAAATCTGTTTACAATTTAAAGGAGTATCAGTAAATAGACCAAGGTAGACGTTTCCCCAAAAATTATTTTGGAAACTTACCTTGGAACAATTAGCATCAAAAACAGTTGTCAGATCATCAGAATTAGCAGTTATTTGGGAATGGAGAATGTTTTCACAGAAATCAAATGTTATTTTTGTACAATATCACTTAGACTACTGTAAAAAATTAAATTTGCTTGTACTCAGTTTTTAAGTCGGAAGGAAAACGCATCTGAAGTCGTAGAACATAGAAATGTAATTTTAAACTATCAATAAAGCGGGAGGAGCACTGGGAGGAAGATTTGTGTGTGATTGCATTTCTTTCCATGTTTTCTTCTAGGTCTTGTATTACTTTCTGGAAAGTAGTTGTATATATATTATGCCTTGGTCGGCAGTTCTGAGTTCTTTATGTTGAACAACTTAAAACAACCCTGCCCTAGAAATGTGTCATGTAACATTTTATTTTCAAATTCACAAAGAAACTCGGAGATTGTGGGTGGCCCCACATTGTCAGCAGTTACAGTACAGGACTAAGCAGGCTTTTCTTCCCAGAGAGAATATAGAACAGGTTGTGGCAAACTCCATTGGCTCAGATTTCCATGTCAAATTCCCCTCGGGTGGCACTTGCAGTGTAAATTTAGCCAACCTATATATAAAGACCCACATGTGCTCCGGTTGTCAATTTTGCAGTCGGTTCGGCCCTTATTTGGTCTCCTGTCTTGAACAGAAAATCGACATAAATCCATTGAAAACATGGATAAATACAATTGTATTACTTTGGTGCAATGCAGTAGACAAAATTCCTCAATCTATACTTCTAAAATGGCCAGTATCCTTGCTGCTGTTTTCCCCTGCATTTCTATTGCTCCACCTGATGTTCAAAATGGCAGCTGTGGCCGCAGTCTAGTTCTGCAGCTATTTACGGTTTTCAACCGTGCGCAATAAAGAAATGCCGTGTTCAAAACAACTGGGAACTCGGAAATCTCCGACTTCAGTGCGTTCAAGACAACTGCGAGCTCGCAGGGCAAAAACCAGCACCGACTGGGGAAAAAATCGTTTCGAACTATAATCCAATTCGGAAACGGGCATCTTTCAAGAGCTCCGACCTGAAGATCACTGACGTCATGATTTGACCTCGGTTTTTTCCGAGTTCCCAGTTGTCTTGAAAGCACCAAAAGGACGTACTACTTATCATATGTCGTCATTTCGCCGTGCAAAGAAAAAAATACACGGGTGAAAAAATCGCCAGAACACAACCCCAACCGAACAGCCAACTCTGCCCGCTATTTTTTTTGGTGCTTCATTATTTTACGCTCCCCGGTGAAAGTAGGCGGAGATGAGGGGACTCCTGCCGTTTTACCGTGCTCTGAACGCCCTGTGTAACCGACAAGTCAGGCGAAGAGCTGGATTTGCCGGTTCTCAGTGCGGGTTTAGCGGAACTGTGTCTGATAGCAAGGTACGATTCGAACTGCAAAGCTGTTGCTTCCAAATGAATTCTGCACTGTCAATTGATACATTGTAGCCAACGTTTCCTTGTAATAGGAGGAATACCAAATAATGTAGCATTGCAGCGGTATTTTTTGGGATGCGCGCTTTGTGTCCCTAAATGTTTTGTTTTTTCCCCCCATTAGTTTTCAAAATCGAAACAGGCACATTTTTATGTATCCGAATGTTACCGCCCCTAGGGGAACATACTTGTGAGGGCAACTAGCCTAAATGCAAGATGTGTGGGTATTTTCTTGAAACAAACAAATGAATAAAGACATCCACAACCCATAGTAATTTTTCATTTAATGCCATGCCACACCTCTGGAGAATTAAACCTACGATTGACAAAATATAGGTAAATGTTGCACATTTTAATTGCGGTAACAAGGCCAGGATAATAAGCCAATCAGATTTTCCATTATATGTCCAAACAACGTCCCCTTTGTTTATGCCAAATCGAGATCTTGAGTCGATAGGCCTAGGCTGAGAGTTTTTAGCCTATAATGTGGATGCTTTAGCCTCTGTTGTTGCGTTCTGCTGTGTCATTCCCAGGGGGGCTCGTCTGCCTTTGATCACACAGTTGCACTGTTCTTAGCAGTCAATTCTGCATCACACACGTTTTTTTGTTTAAATGTGGGTAGGGGCCATTTGATTAGGAAAAGAGATTGCAGTTCCATCACTATCCCATATCATCAACTCATTCTGTAATGTTGGCTACAATGAATTGAATACGTTTTTTTCTCTCTCTCTCTAAATAATAGGCATGTGTATCCATATGGCATATTGGGCCTGTCAGTAAAGTGGCTTTGATAAGACGAAAGGCCCAATAATCACAGGGCCTATTAATTTCTACCCTCACATCACATATGTTTATTTTCTCTTTATGTGAGCTGCCAGCACAATTCACATTTCCTTCCACATCTACCTAGAGGCTAGACTGTTGTAGCCTGATCCACACCAATAGCGAAACAGATTGTAAACTTACGAGATTTCAGGATGGTCTTAGACTTTTGAGTAACACCCAGGAAATATATGTGTGTTGTTACATACAGAAACTAAATAATTACTAGCCTAGATGCATATTTAAAACAACCACACGCATGGTCCTGCATCCTTTCTTGTCTGTCAACTCAGACCCATGCTTTGGGGATGTGGTTGGGTCTTATACTGTTGAGTGTAATATTTGTAATGATGCATGATGTCAACATTACAGTTTTATGTCATGTAGCGATCTAGAAAGTGGAATATGAGTCACTCTCTCCCTATCCCATCCTCAGCCACAGCCACGCTTTGGCCTGCTGTTTGACATCGATGGCGTGCTTGTCCGAGGAAAGATACCCATCCCTGCTGCAAAAAAGGCATTCCAAAAACTGGTAAACTCTCAGGGACAATTTGTGGTGCCAGTTGTTTTTGTCACCAACGCAGGGAATTGTATGCGGCAGATGAAAGCGGACCAGCTCTCACACATCCTGGGAGTGCCTGTAAGTGTCTCACCTACTCACAGCTCTCTTCTGCCACACACAATCTGTAATGATTAAGACATAATGTAATTCTAGTCCCTGTGTGGGCAGTTAGCCAGAACAATATGTGACTTACTGCACTCATGCTGTACATGATAATGTGCTGCATTGTCTGTTCGCTTTAAACGAGTTCTCAGCAACATGATGGATGAATATTAGGACCAGCAGAGGTAGACAATGACATGCATCGTACACAGCCTTTTGACAGGAAATTAAAGCGTATGTGTGTGTCTTGTTGCACAGAAAATCAAACCAATCAGGTCCTCTTGAAGATATTGCCTGCTGTAGGTCTGGCTTGGCCTATCTGACCGGTGTTTTTGTTACCAGATCACCATGGACCAGGTGATGATGTCACACAGTCCACTGAGAATGTTCAAGAAGTACCATGACAAGTGTGTTCTGGTGTCAGGACAAGGACCCGTCCTGGATATTGCCAAAAAGTATCCTTTTGAAATACAGTATGTATTGTCAGACATGATCAAAGCATCTACTTGACTTTTTGGCCTGATAAGAGAAAATATCTTAGATTTTACATAGAAATGAAGTAACAAGCTGATTATAATGACTATGCTATACATTGGTTGTGTAATCCTTAATCATGTTAAGCTTGGGCTTCCAGAATGTGGTCAGTATCGACATGTTGAGAGAGTCCTTTCCTCTGCTGGACATGGTGGACCACAACAGACGGCCCAAACTGCCGGTGAGACTCGGGCCCGATGTATACATTAAAATCCATAGACAGGATATATTTCAGACACTTTCCTAAGCGCCTTCCATTTCTTATTTTCTTTTCAGTCCAGTCCTATTGCCAACCTTCCCACAGTAGAAGGTGAGAGCTTGTAAATGGATTATCTTCTTCTGATTGATCTTGTTGTTGAACTGTCACCGTAATTGCAATTGTATATCATATCCATCATATTCCACTTATTTTATCTTTCTGGTCCAGCTGTTATTCTGTTTGGGGAGCCCATTCGATGGGAGACCAACCTCCAGCTGATAATTGATATCCTGTTGACCAATGGGAACCTGAGCGGAGCCCACCAGACCCAGAAGCTGCCCCACCTCCCCCTGCTGGCCTGCAACATGGATCTCATGTGGATGGCTGAGGCCCAGTCTCCACGGTAACCACAGTGAATCAGTGCTGTTATTGAAATGTGGTGAAAAGGCAGGCAGATATCAATAGGAAGAAAGACATTTGTTTTTTTCACCATAGAATCTATTAATGTCCTGGATGCAAAACGGGACTAAGATCATTGAAGTCTGGCCTTCCAGAAAACGGTTGAATGAGCTTGATTAGTTTAATTGATCATGTTTTCATTACATGTTTGCTTGTTAATATGATCTCAACTCCAGGTTTGGTCATGGGACATTCCTGGTGTGCCTGGAGAACATCTACAAGAAGATAACGGGTAAAGAGGTGAAGTACAAGGCTCTGATGGGGAAGCCCAGTGAACTGACCTACCACTTTGCGGAGTACCTCATCAGAGGCCAGGCTGTGGAGAGAAACTGGACACAGCCCATCACCTCCCTCTATGCTATTGGGTAAGACCCCTGTCATCAGACTGTTGACAGCAAAAAAGGTGGCAATTTATTTTACGTGAAAGAATATACTACTAGGTAAAAAATGGGTAATCACATACTGATAACATATCATTATCAATACTTGTTTGTTTTTTGGGGATTCAAAGCACAGCTAGATTTAATCTGGAAGCTAGAGTAGTTGTTATAGGTGTGGGCTCTTAATTTGATCACTCTGTTGTGGCTGAGAATTTTCCTGCGCCGCAGGAAATGCAGATGAGCTTAGAGATTTACATAAATTCACTGCACTACACGGTTATATTAACAGTATTTTACTTTTCATATAGCCTAATTATGGCTGGCTAATAGCCTAATCACAGATCAAACCTTACATCGGCGAAAAAGTGTGAATGTTCAAATCTTGTTGTTGCAGGATTATATTGCTGCGACAATACTGTACAAATTAAGATCCTGCACCTGTATGTGCTGATGTCCTTGATGTGTGATGTCATTTCTGTACTACTTGATTCCTCTCCTTGATTTCCTTTCCTTTGTCTCTACTCCCTCAGGGATAACCTGATGACTGACATCTATGGGGCCAACCTCTACAGCTGTTACCTGGAGGAGAGGACCAGGAGGAAGAACTCCAAAACTGTCACCAAGATGGCCACTGGCACGGGCTCCAGCGCAGCCCTGCCCCAGGACAATGAGCATGTTGAGAACACCTGGGAGAGCGAGCTGGCACCCCCCTCCGCCACCTCCTGCAAGTCCATCCTGGTGTGCACTGGGGTGTACAACCCCCACACTTATGCCAACCAGTGCATCAAGGAGACTGTGTTTCACGGGCACCGTGACTTCCGCTTCGACCCGGCGCTGGTAGAGCCCGGGCACATCGTGCAGGACGTGGCTGACGCCGTGGAGCTCATCTTTGAGCAGGAGAAGTTTGTGCCTCAGTAATGTTCTCAGATTGGTGTCGTCATGGAGACCTCCTCAGTAGAGGTCTCAGGTTGGCCTGTGCCGGCCATATAATTATAATTGATTATATTCCAATTCTATGGTTCTGGGTTTTAAAGGAGGGGGTTCTTCAAAATTGATACAGAGAAGACCCAACCAACTGATCAATATCCATCTGTCCAGTGTTGTGCAGATTTGTTTTGCATGATACGATGGACCAGGAGATTCCCTTAGTCCTTATCTGGGAAACACCACTTACTGAGTTACGCTGGACAGTGTTTACAACTTGGCAGGGCATTGAAGGAACTTAATAGAGGTCATATTCAAACTCATAACAGTGTAAAGTAATGTAGTGAGATTGAACTCTTATTTATTCTGTTGTATTGTTTTATAGTGGGCTTAAAACGATTTAAGTTCTGCACAATTACCCGCCTTTAAGTAATGGCAAGTATTTTCTTAGTTGTGATTATGTACAAAGATTATGACAATATTTTAAATTGTTAATCTGATTTAAGTGGTCTTATGTATCTTAATGACTACAATAAGTTATACATATTTGTATGAAGTCTATGTAATTCATATGTTTTCGATTCCTTCTCAAACTGACAATAATACTGTCTACCATACGTTTTGTCTGTTACATCTATGCATGCATTTCATAAGATAGATTTCATGCGTTATACTGTAGATAGATGGTTCTAAGATTAACTTAGCCTTAAGATGCTTTTGGGGAAACGGGCCATGTACTGTAAGAATACCTATTTGATATTTAGGGTGCAATGCCGTCCTTCAACTGTGCTATCTACGTTATTTCTAGCAATGTAAACCATGTAACCTGTATTTGCACAGAACAAAACGATTCATTCTCATTTACTGTTACCATATCTTGCTGAGCTAGTAAACCTGCCCTTAGTTGTAAATGTACCATTTGTCGTATTAGTTGTAAATGTACCATTTGTCGTATGTGTTAGAACTTTGACCGCAGATGCAAAGACTGTATCTAGCCACTTATATAAAATATAGGAATATAACATAAGCTATTTTTTCATAGGTGGATTAACCATGCATTTCAGTTGATGCATTACATGTTTTATAAGATGTTGTCAATGTCAATATTGCTTGTAGGTATGAAAATAGCATAGCCATAAAAAAAGAAAAAAGCCGGCTACCTGTTTTTCAGTGCTGATGATACAGCATGGGTTTGTTTACATTAAAACAAATGACTCCATAGAAAATAAAACATGCTTGTCTTCTTGCCATATATCCTACCGGTTTTCTTCTTACTGTCTTCATGCACACATCTTCAGTTTCATTAAGAAATATTCTCACTCTTATCTGGTGTTAACAGTATTAGAAAATTGGACAACACCTAAATGTAATGGGCATAACTAACAAGTGTCCCTTTGAATTATGGCCAGGCTATGCCTCCACCGGTCCTGGCACCTTCCAAACAGGCTATAAAGAGACTTCTAGGCGAGGTCCCTCTGAGGGTGATAAGTAGTGTTGACATGGGCCCTCCCTTTCCTCCCAGTATAAAATAACACAGAGCAGTCAGTCAAGTTGAACTGAAATGATTGTTCACTACATTGGATGGTTTTGATTGATAGAAAGTCACCCTTGAGGGAGCTTTGCCAATATTTGTTAAAAGTATGAAAGATATCGTGTTCTTTAGTAACACTATTTTACAGCCCATAATTACTTGGTATTTACTCAGAAACTACATGGTAACAGAGTAATTACATAATATTATTATTAATAGTAGTATAACTTCTCAGTCACTCGAGGATTTAATGTAACAAATACCAGGAAGTACCATTACCAAGTAATTTCAAATTAAATACCAGTGGTAACGGCTGTAAAATAAAGCATTGCCAGTGTTTTGAACATGCAATGAAGTAAGTAAAATAAGGGCTGGATTCAATCCGTATCGCAGAAGTAATGCGGAAGATCTGCGTTATAGCTCAATTTAAATTTAAAGGCAATGTTCCTGCGTTCGCGGAGATATGTCGCTGCATATGTTGGCTCAATCGGAAATTACCTTTACATTTTACCTTTAAACTTTCGTGATATGGATTGAATCCAGCCCTAACAGGGGATTTCCACATAACACGATAATTCTGATAGCCACGCTAGCTTCGCCCTCATGTGGGTGCTAGCAAGCAGGATAGTAGGGGCTGGAAGCTATAGTGAGCTTCAATTGGTCAATAACGGCGCAATGTCACAGAGGTTTTGCATAAAGTTCAGCTTTCCCTAACTTTGGTCCCGCCCTGTTCACGCTCCCTCACCCATGCTCGCATCGCCCAACGGTCCCACCGCCCACTTCCATTCCCTCCATTGAAAATGAATTGCTTCCGAAGTTTTATCATCCCCTGTCGTCCCCTGTGGAAATTCTGGTCGTGCAGTGCATTGCAACAGTAATGTAGTGAAGTCAAATGAATTAGCAACTACACTCTTTCCCCCCACTTGAGCTTGTCATACATTTATTTTCATCAGAGAGATACAGTGTGCAAGTATAAAACAAAGTAACAATCTACATAACAACAATGGGAGATAACAGTTCCAGAGCATTATATTATAGGCTTACTATTGCTAGAGACAAAAATCTATTCAAAGCATGAGTCAAAACAGTCTGATGAACGGTATTCCAACAGAGGGCAAAACACTCATTCACCGGCTTAGGTTGTAAATCCCCAGCCACCCTATGGTGCGCAACAGTCATCCCATATCTCATGTTGCCTTTATCTTTATATTGTGCTTCTTGTGCAACACGTCCAGTATTTGTGGCAATATCTCCATGTTAATCAGTGGTCTCTCTGGGTCATCTGTCCAGGTGAGAGAGGTAGAGTTCTCACATTCCTCAGACAGAGAGACCCTCTGGAGTGTCCTCCTGTGTTTGGGCTTCAGCGACTTCAGAGAGTCAGCCTCAAACCCTGCGTGTCTCTGATCCATGTCCAGAGTGAAGGTGGAGTTCTTCGCTAGCTTCAGGGCCCACAGCAGCAGGCCGATGAGCCCACACAGCATCACCCCCACCAGGGTATCATACACCTCCCTTGCACACCTCCGCTGGGCACAGGAGGAGAAGTAGGCATCACTGAGCACAGTGATGGCTGTGTGTGCCACACTACTGGGGCTGGCACAGGTGGGCACCCCACCAGACATGACAGCCCTGTTCCTCCTCAGCCAGGTCCTTAGGTACTGGATTTCACAGTTACAGTGGAAAGGATTTCCAGACAGGGTGACCCTCCTCAGGCCTTGCAGCCTGTCGAAGTGCCCTGGAGGTACTGTGGACAGCAGGTTGTTCTGGAGGTGGAGCTCGGTGGTGTCTGGAGAGAGAGGTGGCACTTCCCTGAGGCTCAGGGAGCTGCAGTTTATCTGTAGTCCTGCAGGCTGTAGGGTTGAACACCGGCAGGGTTGTGGGCTGGTCTGTGCACTGGATGTGGCCAGGAGGAGGAGGATGGCTAGCCCTGAACCGAAGAGCATCCTGCAGGAAGAAAAACATGCCATGATGTATGCATACACTATATATACAAAAGTATGTGGACACCCCTTCAAATGAGTGGATTCGGTTATTACAGCCACACCCGTTGCTGACAGGTGTATAAAATGGAGCACATGTAATCTCCATAGACAAACATTGGCAGTAGAACGGCCTTCCTGAAGAGCTCAGTGACTTTCAACGTGGCACCGTAATAGGATGCCACCTTTCCAACAAGTCAGTTCTTCACATTTCTGCCCTGCTAGAGCTGCACCGGTCAACTGTAAGTGCTGTTATTGTGAAGTGGAAACATCTAGGAACAACAACAGCTCAGCCGTGAAGTGGTAGGCCACACAAGCTCACAGAAAGGGACAGCCGAGTGCTGAAGTGCGTAAAAATCGCATGTCCTCTGTTGCAACACTCACTACCGAGTTCCAAACTGCCTCTGGAAGCAATGTCAGCACAAGAACTGAAATGGGTTTCCATGGCCGAGCAGCCGCACACAAGCCTAAGATCACCATGCGCAATGCCAAACGTCGGCTGGAATGCTGTAAAGCTTGCCCCCATTGGACTCTGGAGCAGTGGAAACGCGTTCTCTGGAGTGATGAATCACGCTTCACCATCTGGCAGTCTGACGTACGAAGTTGGGTTTTGCGAACGCCAGGAGAACGCTTCCTGTCCGAATGCAAGTTTGGTGGAGGATAAATAATGGTGTGGGGCTGTTTTCCATGGTTCGGGCTAGGCCCCTTAGTTCCAGTGAAGGGAAATCTTAACGCTACAGCATACGATGACATTCTAGACGATTCTGTGCTTCCAACTTTGTGGCAACAATTTGGGGAAGGCCTTTTCCTGTTTCAGCATGACAATGCCCCGTGCACAAAGCGAGGTCCATACAGAAATGGTTTGTCGAGATCAGTGTGGAAGAACTTGACTGGCCTGCACAGAGCCCTGACCTCAACCTTTGGGATGAATTGGAACGCCGACTGCGAGCCAGGCCTAATCGCCCAACATCAGTGCCCGACCTCACTAATGCTCTTGTAGCTGAATGGAAGCAAGTTCCTGCAGAAATGATCCAACATCTAGTGGAAAGCCTTCCCAGAAGAGTAGAGGCTGTTATAGCAAAGGGGGGACCAACTCCATATTAATGCCCATGATTTTGGAATGAGATGTTTGACGAGCAGGTGTCCACATACATTTGGTAATGTAGTCCCAAAAAAATTATGCTTTGAATTAGGCCTACCTGTGAAAGGAATACTATGTTTTATGGAGGTGCATGTAACATCTATTGATCTATTTACTCAGAAAATAATAGAGATGTGGGTAAACTTTGTATCTATCCCACATTGGGTGGAAAAATATGTCTGTCATATCATATACATATATGGAGGTGCATGTAACATCTATTGATCCATTTACTCAGAAAATAATAGAGATGTGGGTAAACTTTGTATCTATCCCACATTGGGTGGAAAAATATGTCTGTCATATCATATACAGTATCCTATGGGCTGAACAGGCTTATCATGATAGGCCATGGCCATAAATGTTAAAGTGAGGCCTTCCTTTAGGTGTCAAGTTATTGTCAACAAGACTAGAGTGAGGCCTACCTTTCAGTGTCAAGTTATTGTCAACAGGACTAGAGTAAAGCCAAAGTAGAAGGTAGTTCTTGTAATTCCACTCATCGTTGAGGCCTGTGCTCTGTCAAATATCAATCCACAGGTGTTCTGTCCAGTGCTGCTCTGGAAGGTCTAGAAAAGTTTTAGAGTTCTAGGAGACGTCCTTCAAGTCAGCCACTATTGTCCATTTTGTAACGGACGTGTTTTTTAAATGTCAGAATCCCCTCTGCACATACGTAACAGCGTCAGAATGTGTGAAAGTCACCACTGACAGGGCAAGCTTTGGGTCACGTGATGAGAGGGAAACACCTCTGTTGGGAGAAGATAAGGGTTTATCTTCAAAAAATGTGGTAGGCTTTTAATAAGTGAGTTTGTAACGTAGTACTGCTATACATGTTAACAATGACGACCAATGTGGTATTATTATATTATTGGTATGAGCCTCCATAACTGCCATAAATATGCTCATGTAATTATTGTTGCTATAACCTACTACTATTCCTGTGTTGGCCAGTAACCTATAAGTTCTATGTAGAGTATGCTACTACTCCGTCACATAAAACTATGAATTAGTGCATTTCTTGGCCCAACACCAGATCCGACTCTACTCTATGATAGTACTAGGATCAAGTAGTAGTGTATGGTAAACACTGACTAGAACCCATCTATCCACTAGGTGGTAGTGTATGGTAAACATAGTCTAGAACCCATCTATCCACTAGGTAGTAGTGTATGGTAAACACTGTCTAGAACCCATCTATCCACTAGGTATTAGTGTATGGTAAACACTGACTAGATCTAGAACCCATCTATCCACTAGGTAGTAGTGTATGGTAAACACTGTCTAGAACCCATCTATCCACTAGGTAGTAGTGTATGGTAAACACTGTCTAGAACCCATCTATCCACTAGGTAGTAGTGTATGGTAAACACTGTCTAGAACCCATCTATCCACTAGGTAGTAGTGTATGGTAAACACTGTCTAGAACCCATCTATCCACTAGGTAGTAGTGTATGGTAAACACTGTCTAGAACCCATCTATCCACTAGGTAGTAGTGTATGGTAAACACTGTCTAGAACCCATCTATCCACTAGGTAGTAGTGTATGGTAAACACTGTCTAGAACCCATCTATCCACTAGGTAGTAGTGTATGGTAAACACTGACTAGATCTAGAACCCATCTATCCACTAGGTAGTAGTGTATGGTAAACACTGTCTAGAACCCATCTATCCACTAGGTAGTAGTGTATGGTAAACACTGTCTAGAACCCATCTATCCACTAGGTAGTAGTGTATGGTAAACACTGACTAGAACCCATCTATCCACTAGGTAGTAGTGTATGGTAAACACTGTCTAGAACCCATCTATCCACTAGGTAGTAGTGTATGGTAAACACTGACTAGAACCCATCTATCCACTAGGTAGTAGTGTATGGTAAACACTGTCTAGAACCCATCTATCCACTAGGTAGTAGTGTATGGTAAACCACTGTCTAGAACCCATCTATCCACTAGGTAGTAGTGTATGGTAAACACTGTCTAGAAACCCATCTATCCACTAGGTAGTAGTGTATGGTAAACACTGTCTAGAACCCATCTATCCACTAGGTAGTAGTGTATGGTAAACACTGTCTAGAAACCCCATCTATCCACTAGGTAGTAGTGTATGGTAAACACTGTCTAGAACCCATCTATCCACTAGGTAGTAGTGTATGGGTAAACCATTCCTAGAACCCATCTATCCCTAGGTAGTAGTGTATGGGTAACACGGTCTAGAACCCCATCTATCCACTAGGGTAAGTAGTGTATGGTAAACCACTGTCGAAGAACCCATCTAATCCACTAGGTCGTTAGTGTATGGTAAACCCTAGATCTAGAACCCATCATCCACTGAGGGTAGTAGTGTAATGGTAAACACGTGTCTAGAACCCATCTAAATACCACTAGGTAGTAGTGTATGGTAAACACTGACTAGATCTAGAACCCAACTATCCACTAGGTAGTAAGTGTAGGTTAAACACTTGGTTAGAACCCAGCTAGCCACTAGGTATGTAAGTGTATGTTAAACACCTGTCTAGAACCCCATCTATCCACTAGGTAGTAGTGGAAATGGTAAACACTGCCTCGATCTAGAACCCATCTATCCACTAGGGTAGTAGTGTATGGTAAACACTGTCTAGAACCCAACTATCCACTAGGTTAGTAGTGTATGGGTAAACCGACGAGATTAGAACCCATCTAGCCACATAGGGTAAGTAGTGTATGGTAAACACTGTCGAGAACCCAACTATCCCACTAGTCAGTAGTGTATGGTAACACTGACTAGATCTAGAACCCATCTATCCACTAGGTAGTAGTTGTATGGTAAACAACTGTCTAGAAACCCATCTATCCACTAGGTAGTAGTGTATGGTAAAACTACTGAACTTGATCTAGAACCCAGTAGTGTAGTAAACACCGACTAGAACCCATCTATCCATAGGTAGTAGTGTATGGTAAAAACACTGATCTAGAAACCCATCTATCCACTAGGTAGTAGGTGTATGGTAAAACACTGTCTAGACCCATCTATCCACTAGGTAGTAGTGTATGGTAAAACTGACTAGAACCCATCTATCTAGTAACACGCTAAACCCATCTATCCACTAGGTAGTAGGTGGTAAACACGCTAGAACCTCTATCCTAGGTATAGTGTATGGTAAAAAACCACACTGTCTAGAACCCATCTATTCACTAGGTAGTAGTGTATGGTAAACACAGTCTAGAACCCATCTATCCACTAGGTAGTAGTGTATGGTAAACACTGTCTAGAACCCATCTATCCACTAGGTAGTAGTGTATGGTAAACACAGTCTAGAACCCATCTATCCACTAGGTAGTAGTGTATGGTAAACACAGTCTAGAACCCATCTATCCACTAGGTAGTAGTGTATGGTAAACACCGACTAGAACCCATCTATTCACTAGGTGGTGCGCTGACAAACTGCTTCATCTCTGCGTGCCTTCCATTGGTTATGCTGTGTATTACCGACAGGTGTACTAACCGTAACACAGGTAAAAAAAAAATATGTTTTTGTTGAAAACCTCCCTGATACATACCGGTATGCAACATGCATCTAAGAAGTAGATAACCCTTTCTAAAGGTACCTTGTTGACAAGGGCTTTATTTGATCTGTGAATTGGTAAGATAAAAGGAATGACACACATGATGACGCATGTTAGAAGCTAAAGACCAACACATGCATACCAACACAAGTCATATATTTGTTTATTTAGCGTTGTCAACATTGTCACAGTTGAAGTTTTACAATAACTGGGGTCTTACTGACTCACTACTCACTGGACAAACTGAATGCACAAAGAAATGAGGCCACTCTTGTCTTTCCCTTTGATGAGTCTGTGTCTGTGTGTCTGTGTCTGTGTGTGTGTGTGTGTGTGTGTGTGTGTGTGTGTGTGTGTGTGTGTGTGTCTGTGTGTGTGTGTGTGTGTGTGTGTGTGTGTGTCTGTGTGTGTGTGTGTGTCTGTGTGTGTGTGTGTGTGTGTGTGTGTGTGTGTGTGTGTGTGTGTGTGTGTGTGTGTGTGTGTGTGTGTGTGTGTGTGTCTGTGTCTGTGTGTGTGTGTGTGTGTGTGTGTGTGTGTGTGTGTGTGTGTGTGTGTGTGTGTGTGTGTGTGTGTGTAGGAGGCAGTAAACGTTATAACAGTCTGTCTTTGAGATCCACAGCGAATGACAGTTCAGTTCAGTTGGAGGCAGAGACAAGCGATATGTTCTGAATCATATATTTTCCACCTCCCATATGAGGTGACGGGCACACCACCCTGATCTCCACGGCAGATGTTGGATTACAGTAGTGATAATATACACACTATGTACATATCCCTTTTCTCCCACTTGGTCCCTTCTCATCTTCATTTTAGATAAACCACCCTTTTTAGAATTCCATAATCAACACTTCTACTCTCCTATTTACACATTCATAGCCCTCGGCTCAGTAACACAAGTGCAACGGTGTTAATGTTTTGTTATTTTTACAATGGCTATGTATATGCAGATGAAATAAATGCATGCTGAGCTGAAGTAACAATCAGCTTAACGTGGGACAGCAGAGCAAGTCAACATCAGAAGATTCCAAATCTAAACCAATAAAAAGAAAGGAAATAAAGTCAATCAACTTTACAGGCTGACCTGGTCAGCCAGCTCACAGTGAAAAGGACACACGATGCATCAGGTCCATGCAGTGCATTGTGGGGGTACTTCTCAGACTGTAGACATTTCTTGAAGCACTACAACAGATATCAAGATCAATCTAAACATGTTGTTCTTTTTTTTTTTACGTTGTCCGACCATTTCTGAGTTGCAAAAAGGAAAATATGAAATTATTAGAAAGACATTCAATTGATTATTCATGTTCCAGATAAGATATGTTTATCTGTCTAAAAGTCCTTATTTTATGTTATAATATCATGGATCTAATATGAACGGACATGTCTTGAATGTAGTCTTATGGTTTCAGTTCTTAGTGAATGTTAAAATACATTTACACCCTGAATATTGGGACAAACAGTTGACTCTTACTTTAATGTACACATGATAATAGACTATTATTTTGTAGAATGTAGAAAGTTATTTTTCTTTACATATAACCCAGTTCCTTTGTTCCATTTGCAGTTATTTGCTGTTTAGTAGATCTACATTTTTTCAGATTTCCTGAAAAATGAAAGCGCTCCTTCATATGTGCTTATCCAGCAAAATAGTTATGTTCTGCCCAGAGGGAAGCATATTCCTTTTTAAAATATATACACACATTCCGCTTTCCTTCCACCGTGAACTGTGTAAGTAAGTATATAATCTGAAATGAAAAAAATATATTTCTCACCTGAATCTCTTCCTGGACAACATGATAACAGACTTGAACCCGTAGAAGGCCTACATTTTAAATCTCTATGGTAACACTGATTCGTTATAGAATGTGGAGAGGATAGCCTCACATCAATAACATTACATGCAACATCACTTAATAGACATTCCACTGAATTCCAGGACTGTGCTTCTCAGAGAACCACGAGAACAGCCACACATTAAGCCATTGAGAGAGAACAACAGGGGTCCGAACTAAATAAATAAATAACGACACAACATGAAAACACACAAAACAAACAGAAGGGACCCTTTGCTTGTTCTGAACGTACAAAATCAGTACGACGATATTGCGCGTACATAATGATAGAAACAAAGATGACAAACAAACAAATAAATCATTCACTACATACTTAAGAGCTTATTTTAGTCACTCAACTACTCAGGTTTTGTGAAGAAAACAAAAATATAGTAAATGACTATTTAAAAAAATGGATTATTGTATTTTGATTTGAAGAGTCAAGAATGCAGCTGCATCAAAGGAATGAGACATTACCAGCTCTACTGTGGGTCCATCAGTAAAGTGACTTGAGCCTCAACATCTATTCAGTAAAGTGTCCGAGAGGTCAGGCAAGCTGTGAGCTGAGCCATCATACAACCAAAAGAAGCCCGTTAGCTCAACAAGAGAGCTGTGACACATCTTCACTGCTATCTTACAACGTGTCCTTACTCACAGTACTAAACTTATAAAGGACTACTATACTGAGCTGAGGGGGACACATCTACCCAGCAGATTTACATTTACATTTACATTTTAGTCATTTAGCAGACGCTCTTATCCAGAGCGACTTACAGTTAGCACATACATTATTTTATCGAACCCACAACCCTGGCGTTGTAAACGCCATGCTCTACCAACTGAGCTACATCCCCTGCCGGCCATTCCCTCCCCTACCCTGGACGACGCTGGGCCAATTGTGCGCCGCCCCATGGGTCTCCCGGTCGCGGCCGGCTACGACAGAGCCTGGATTCGAACCAGGATCTCTAGTGGCACAGCTAGCACTGCGATGCAGTGCCTTAGACCACTGCGCCACTCGGGAGGTAAAGCAGATGAACAACAAATGGTCAGTAAATGCCCATGCCAAGAAGTATCTGTCCACTCTAAGGTTTTATACATGACAGCACAGCACTAGGAGGGCCATATGCCACAGCTGCATTCCTGAGTCTCTCAATGCTCTGGTTGGAAGGCAAAGGGTTCAAGAGTAGGTTATTGGCCTGAATTAATGTGGGTTCACTCCTCCTTTCCATCTATCCTGTTACCATAGAGTCAGTATAATACTGATAAAGTTAATTTCTAATGATAATAATAACGGTTGTATAATCTTAGAAGGTACTTTACGCACAATATACTGTACATGAAGTCTGGACTAAATAGTTTATGCATTAGTAATTGGCACATTTATTAATGAGAGTTAGGAGACAACACGTAAAGCTGTCATCTACAGTAAATGCAGCACTACAACTACTACCATTGAGACTGTTTCCTCAGTTGTTAGCCTGTCCGTTGGTCTAGTTATTGTGAAATGATTACACCTAGCTTTTCTACACTACATGAATTCTACGAGGCAACAACAAATAGCATTCTTAAAAATAAAGAAAGGGTTTCACAAACCTCAAGAAAGCAGAATGTTAAAGCTAGATTTGTTTAAAAAGACTGTGTACAATATAATATGCCATTGTGACAGAGAAAACAGTCAGAAATGTTTTCCCAGGCCTGTCCCAACTCTTTACACGAAGGGGAGACAGGCTATTGAAAGAACAGAGCAGTGGAGAGCGGCCTACAGAGGTGCACGGTTCTCTTCAGCCGTGAGTTCACAGGGATTAGGAGGGAAAGCGTTTCCCCATACAAAACGCCTCCTCCCTCAACAGAAAGAAAGAGGCCCCCACTCTAAGGTTCGAGCCGCGGCCCTTTGTGGAGGAATTGAGTCTGGTTTCCATCCTGCATATTGGTGAGCAGCTGATACAGGTGACTGCCAGAGGTCCATCTCAACAACCACAGCAGTGGAACACAGTGGACAGGCCATGGACTTAAAGTATACCCTCTGTCCCTTTGGTGGAAGAGATTGTACCTCCCTTAAGTTCTCTCTCTCTCTCTCTCTCCTCGCAGCACTATCAGAGAGACGAGGATAGGAGAGACGAGAGAGTAGAGAGGGGATATCTATCTATCGATGTATATCGCGAGTCTCTCTCTCGATCTCTCTCTCTCTCTCCCCTCTATCTCGCTCTCTCTCTTCTCTCGCGCTCTCTCTCTCTCTCTCGCTCTCTCTCGCTCTCTCTCGCTCTCTCTCGCTCTCTCTCGCACTCTCTCTCTCTCTCTCTGAGGGACGTCACACCACGGTGCTGATGCCACTGTGTTTGTGTTTGGATCCGCCGGGTGCCGGGCTCTGCTGCTGACTGTGGTGGTGAAGGGCATGCTGGGAGTGTGAGGCATGATGCGAATGCTGGCTGTGGGTGCCGTGACTGTGCTGTGGTACATGCGGGTGTTGATGTGTGAGGGAGGAGGAAGCATATGCTGCCGGGTGCTGGTGGGGCGGGGGGGTGGTAGTGGTGGTGGTGGTGGTAGGGAGGGGGGTTCTGCTGGACGTGGCAGTACTGGGAGTGGTATGGCTGGGTCTGGGCTACCTGCTGGGCTGTGTGGTGGAGGTTGGACGGATGGGGCGTGTGGGAGATGAGGGTGGGGTGACCGGGCGGAGGAAGAGGAGGATGGCTCTGGGATGAAGGCTTCGCCCGCTTGCTGCCAAAGAGCGACCCGAGGAGGGAGGAGGAGTTGGGGATGGTGGGGTGGCCCCGGGGAGGGCCCTCGCTGCGAGGGGTCGTGGCTCTCCGGCGTGTGTGGGGGCTGCTAATGATGGACCCCTGTGGGAGAGAAGAAGGGGACATCATATCTATCCGTACCTTTTATACAACTGGACATTCACACAGTACCACCTACTAGAGTCTAAACTACCATAATTTAGGCTAAGGTACCCCCTCATGGAAATGGTGCAAATTGCCTGCATTTTCAAGGGTCAACAGCAACTTGCACAACGTTACAGACAGAGCATGCAAAAAATGAACAAAAAATGCCATCTCATGACAGACAAATAATGAATGGTAATATTAGGGTTATGGTCACTCTTGACAATGTTACAAATGAAGAAACCTACATTTCAAAACAAACCTCAAACTCTAACCTACCGTGTCAAATCTGTTCAACGTGTGTGTGAGATTTGAAAACTGAACCTTCATAATAGATGCATCAAAACTATACAGGCCTATACATTTCATATTGTTGAACGCCTTCCAAACCTGCCAAGAGTCCCACATGCAACTGGTTAAAAACAATGGAGGCAGAGGATCCACATGCAGAGGAGGTAACAGGCATACTCTCTATCCATATTGGGTTAGCATTCAACCGGACAGCGGGAAGCAGCCATACTGGAGCTCTGGTAGGCACATTTTAAAATAACTCTGTTCACTTATCCCCTGTTCTAGTTCCAACTCTATCCTTTTTGTAATTCATTCATTTTAGAAGCCCTTCATTTGGTGCATGCTCTGTCCAACGTTGTAAAGAGACCCTATAGATGTCTTTGAAAGTGGAATGACATTTTTAAGGGTCCCCAGACTCCAAAACCAACACATGGACACATGGAATGAAAAAATGATGATGAATGAAATCCACATCTTTCATATTGACTATTTCATATTGTGTGTAAAAAGCCTATTGATAAGAGTTCTGATAGTGAGATATTGTTGTGACAATGAGCTGCTGTAAAATAACCTTCCTCCCTGAGCTTCAAATCCCTCTGGGCTTTCTTTCCATAGGACAGGCAGGGGACAGGAGAGGGACCAGGGTGGTGAGAAAGAGGAACCAGGGGACAGGAGAGAGACCAGGGTGGTGAGAGAGAGGAACCAGGGGACAAGAGAGGGACCAGGGTAGTGAGAGAGAGGGACCAGGGGACAGGAGAGGGACCAGGGTGGTGAGAAAGAGGAACCAGGGGACAGGAGAGAGACCAGGGTGGTGAGAGAGAGGAACCAGGGGACAAGAGAGGGACCAGGGTGGTGAGAAAGAGGGACCAGGGGACAGGAGAGGGACCAGGGTGGTGAGAGAGAGGGACCAGGGGACAGGAGAGGGACCAGGGTGGTGAGAGAGAGGGAACAGGGGACAAGAGAGGGAACAGGGGACAGGAGAGAGACCAGGGTGGTGAGAGAGAGGGACCATGGGACAGGAGAGGGACCAGGGTGGTGAGAAAGAGGGACCAGGGGACAGGAGAGGGACCAGGGTGGTGAGAGAGAGGGACCAGGGGACAGGAGAGGGACCAGGGTGGTGAGAGAGAGGGACCATGGGACAGGAGAGGGACCAGGGTGGTGAGAAAGAGGGACCAGGGGACAGGAGAGGGACCAGGGTGGTGAGAAAGAGGAACCAGGGGACAGGAGAGAGACCAGGGTGGTGAGAGAGAGGAACCAGGGGACAAGAGAGGGACCAGGGTAGTGAGAGAGAGGGACCAGGGGACAGGAGAGGGACCAGGGTGGTGAGAAAGAGGAACCAGGGGACAGGAGAGAGACCAGGGTGGTGAGAGAGAGGAACCAGGGGACAAGAGAGGGACCAGGGTAGTGAGAGAGAGGGACCAGGGGACAGGAGAGAGACCAGGTCGGGCAGAGAGAGGGAACAGGGGACAAGAGAGGGAACAGGGGACAGGAGAGGGGCTTTAGGGTTACATAACACTGGGGGGAGAGTAGGTGCTACAACAGATATTCACTGGCACCCCTGCCTTAGGTAATAGAACCCCAAAGCAAAGTAAAACTGCGGGTCGGGACATGGCTGAATGGAGGACAGTAGACTGTGATCAAAACAGACGGAGGGGGGAGGGGTTGGGGGTACGATGACGACACAGGGATCAGAGGGAGGGAGGGGAGAATAGTAGTAGAGTCATGCTTGTTTCAAGAAAAAGGGCAAACTGGCCACATGACCAAAAAAAGAGATGACTCCCATCTAGACAATGCCAGCGTCAGAGGCAGGCAGCCCATGCATGCACACGAACCGAGGCAGGCAGGTTGTTAAAAGGCAACCGAGATTAAAAAATTATCATAAAACTAGATGAACTGAGAGTCTATGAAGCAGAGGGGGGTGCAAGACCAAAAAAAATGTACGGAGTGTTTTGACAGTGCACATCATCACATAGAGAGTAGCTTGGATACCAGCTGCTTCCAACTTACTTCCATATTGCTGTCTAGTGATCCTGCACTGCTGCGGCGCCCACGCTTGCCTGCCCGAGACATGCAATACCACAGATTAGAGATGGATAGGACAGCACTCCTGGATCAACTACAGAGGTTTAGGCAGCCCTCCTCTCCCCTAGGGGGCAGTGCAGGGGGTTGTGAGTAGTACACTGGAAACTGAGATAAATCTGGGCTGAGGTGAGATCAGGAGGTCAGGGAGATTTTGTGGGACTGGTTGATAGGTAGGTATTACTGTGGCGAAGTCATGTCCATTAATTTTGCAGCTTTGTTCAGAGATAAAGACAAACATTTGGTCTGTGTACTTCTACACTATTCATATTATATATCCTATATTTCTGATAATAAGCTTTCTAAAATACTCAAGTGATGCTAGAACTAAAATTCTAAATTTAGAAGAATCGCCAGCATTGGCTCAAACTTAAAAGGACAAGGAAATCATTTTTGCAACATTCAGCTGGGGACATCTGCATAACTACAAAGCGTTAAGCAAAGTATCTCGACTCTAGAACTAGTTAAGATTATCCAGTGTTTTATTTAATTTTTTATGTCCTGATAAAATGTGACAACTGGGATTTAATGTTGTCACAAGATGTAGATTGTCATAAGGAAAGGTCACAGGTGGCTTTGAAGAGAGCCAATGGCAGTGACAGTCAAGGAGGAGGAGGAACATCAAAAGCAATACAATGGCTGTTGCACATGAGGTGTACGAGCAAATACAGAAAAGGCCCAAGGGCAAACAGAGCGGTTTGCCACTGTTAGAGGCTCAGCCAATGAATACAGGACCAGTCTTCACATATGGAGAAAGGAGAAAACCCAATGGGAATGGAAATATCAGGAAGTACATAATGAGATGGAGAATAACGAGAAAAGAAAAGAACACAGGAAATGACCACACTATCATGCCACGTCCTGCGATTAGAAAGTTAGGGCTTAACCATACGCAAAAACAGGAGGGTGGAAACACTACTATGTTCTATTTACTTCAGCACTGACTAACCTTATCATATCAGTATTTCAGTACAGTACCCAACATGACAATGGAAACAGAGCAAATACCTCCCAATGTGAGATACTGTAGGACTGTAGAACCCCTATATGGATTTCATTACGTTACCATGATGTCTTAACATAACTGCGATCCAGAATGAATGACATGTTCTCAAAGTGCTGCGCATTAGAGTTAGAGATGCTATGTGAAGTACTGATATTCATGACAATGAGATGTTTGTTGTCATTTAGGAACCAAATCTCGTCTTTTGTCAGTTATTGTATGAGAACATATCCCCATTGAGTTCAGTGGGGTTGAATGACTGGTAGGGTGAGTGAATAATGGTAGTTTAATTGAACATATAACAAGCAAAGCTCATCATGAAATGTTGTGAGAAATAATAAGGATTTAAGAATGAGAATGTGACACGTAAAAGTGCAAAAATCAAAGGTGTTCATTGAGATATAAAGTATATTTGGATTCAGATACAGGGAAGAAAGCCATCCTTCAATATTACTTTTCAGTGAACAGGCAAATCCTCTAAAGTAGGCCTATGGATAATATCATACCAAATAGCTTATTCATTTAGATACTTATATTTTTCTATGGCACTCACCTACTTCTCTTGTTTCATATCCCAGGTTATGATAATACTATTTCACATTGGGGTAGGGCACCAGTACCAGAAAATCATCTTGGGACTAAACTTACAAAGGACCTTAAGCTCAATGATCCTGTGGAGTCTCACACTGCCCAGATATAGTATGCATTTCAGTTATTTCATAGGAACATCTCACTGGAATAATGTTTTCATTGATCATCAATACAGCTTAGGGGAGAAGTCTGACATTAATGCATGGTGCTCTAAAACATAATGTTGGATGCTCTGAGTTATATCACTATAGGACCAGTAAGGAGGTAACAAAACAGAGGGTCTCTCCCAGGAAAGGACCCTCTGGTGAACACAATGATGACCTTACCTGCTTCGGAGAGGTCGCGGAGGGAGCTGCTGAGGGCGCTCCTCTTCAGGCCCTCGCCCATGGTGTAGGTGTCGTCCAGACTGGCACGGTTCATGTTGCCGTTGCCAGCCTCCTTCTTCAGCCCAGAGCTCTGGGACATACTGGGCCTCACCACCCCTTTCTGCTTCTCCAGCTCAGCTGTATATGAACATACACATGGGGAGAGAGTAAGGTAAGGAGTGTGTGTGTGTGTGTTTGTTTCAGTGCATATCTTTCAAACACACAATAGTTCTACATTTCCTCATATAATTTCATCATTGGTACTAGTCTTATTTTCTCATAGACTATTAGTATACATTCGGTAACTATTGCATATACATAGTAATTAAATGTTGCATTGTTAGAGTGCACCTAAATCCTTTTCGACGTTTGACTCATTCTTAAAAATAGTATTCTGTGTGTTTCCCTTTGATGAATCACACAATCACAGTCCTCCTCCTGGTAGCCATCCTGTGAACTCTATAAACAGTCCTCCTCCTGGTAGCCATCCTGTGAACTCTATAAACAGTCCTCCTCATAAACAGAGAGTTAGTAATGAGGACCATGAGGCCCTCTCTGCCTCTACTTGACTGAGTTTATATGACCCACGGCGGCCAGGGAGGGAGGGAGGGAGAGGGGGACAGAGGGAGGGAGGGGCGGACAGAGGAAGGGCTAAAATGTCTGCTCACACTCTATCCTGTATTTCTCCATTTCCTGGACCTCGGCGATGGACTCCCGCAGGTCATCAGTAAACTTCTTGCGGTCTTGGGGGTTGGGCGCGTTAAAGTTGATGAGGACTTTGATGTCGGCACCTGGTATGGCTGATGTAAGCCTGATTCCATTCCCGTAATCTGGATGAGAGAGAAAGAGAGAGAGAGAGAAAGAGAGAGAGAGACACCTTTAAAACTAGGGGCATCGACCACAGAGGAAGTTTTAAAAAACACGGTCCGAAAATCTGTCTGATGTTTTGAAAGTATCAACAGTGTCTCGTTCCATCATCACAGGAAGGTTAGATACATTTCTGTGGTAAATTAAACCCAGTGGGATGTACTATATACAGTGCATTCTGAAAGTATTCAGACCCGTTGACTTTTTCCACATTTTGTTACGTTACAACCTTATTCTAAAATGGATTAAAAAAAAAAAATCTTCATCAATCTATACACAATACCCCATAATGATGAAGCGAAAACAGGTTTTTAGAAATTATTGCACATTTATAAAAAATAAATAAACATACATAAGTATTCAGACCCTTTGCTATGAGAATCGAAATTGAGCTCAGGTGCATCCTGTTTCCATTGATCATCCTTGAGATGTTTCTACAACTTGATTGGAGTCCACCTATGGTAAATTCAATTGATTGGACATGATTTGTCTATATAAGGTCCCAAGCCATGAGGTCGAAGGAATTGTCTGTAGAGCTCCGAGATAGGATTGTGTTGAGGCACAGATCTGGGGAAGGGTACCAAAAAATGTCTGCAGCATTGAAGGTCCCCAAGGACACAGTGACCTCCATCATTCTTAAATGGAAGAAATTTGGAACCACCAAGACTCTTTCTAGAGCTGGCCGCCCGGCCAAATTGAGCAATCGGGGGAGAAGGGCCTTGGTCAGGGAGGTGACCAAGAACCCAATGGTCACTCTGACAGAGCTCCTCTGTGGAGATGGGAGAACCTTTCAGAAGGACAACCATCTCTGTAGCGCTCCACCAATCAGGCCTTTATGGAAGAGTGGCCCGACGGAAGCCACTCCTCAGTAAAAGGCACATGACAGCACGCTTGGAGTTTGCCAAAAGGCACCTAAAGGACTCTCAGACCATGAGAAACAAGATTCTCTGGTCTGATGAAACCAAGATTGAACACTTTGGCCTGAATGCCAAGCATCATGTCTGGAGGAAACCTGGCGCCATCCCTTCGGTGAAGCATGGCAGTGGCAGCATCATACTGTGGGGATGTTTTTCAGCGGCAGGGACTGGGAGACTATTTGATTGAGCGAAAGATGAACGGAGCAAAGTACAGAGAGATCCTTGATGAAAAGCTGCTCCAGAGTGCTCAGGAGCTCAGACTGGGGCGAAGGTTCACCTTCCAACAGGACAACAAACCTACGCACACAGCCAAGACAACACAGGAGTACAGAGTACAGAGACAAGTCTCTGAATATCCTTGAGTGGCCCAGCCAGAGCCCGGACTTGAACCCGATCGAACATCTCTGGAGAGACCTGAAAATAGCTGTACTGCAACGCTCCCCATCCAAACTGAGAAGAATGGGAGAAACTCCCAAAATATAGGTGTGCCAAGCTTTTTTAGTGTCATACCCAAGAAGACTCAAGGCTGTAATCGCAGCCAAAGGTGTTCAACAAAGTACTGAGTAAAGGGTCTGAATACTTATGTAAATGTGATATTTCAGTTTTTTATTTTTTATAATTTGCAAAAAAATCTAAAAACCTGTTTTTGCTTTGTCATTATGGGGTATTGTGTGTAGATTGATGAGACCCCCCCCCCCCCCCCCCCCCCCCCCCCCATTTTAGAATAAGGATGTAACGTAACAAAATGTGGAAAAAGTCAAGGGGTCTGAATACTTTCTGAATGCACATTGAGGAGATGGTGAATTAGGCGGGAGAGGTCTGTGCCACTTACACTGGTTCTCAAACATCAGAACCTGCATCCCATACAGAGAGAAAGACTGCCTGAAGCTGTATGTCACAGAGTTTTTCTTCTTCTGGAAAATCTTTGTCACCTGCACCCAAATAAACACACAAACAAACACACAGCCAAATACACAAGTTATACTGTGAGGGCAAGAAAGAGAGTGAAGAAAGCTTAGACTTAAGAGGTTTAAACTAAAAAGACTGGATCATTGTTGTTGCTGTGAGGCTAGAATGACCGTATTTAGGACAGGATAGGATAGGACAGGATAGGAGAAAGGAAGGAGACGTACCACCAGAAGATCATTAAACAGGAAGATCTCCCGCTGGTGCAGGCCCAGCTTCTGGAGCTTGTTGGGGTCTGGCACTTCAAACAGCCGGCAGTAGCAGACCAGCCTGCGATGGGGCAGGGACAGGACCTAGAAGCCAACACAACAACATTACTCACTAACACTCTGCGCTCCTCCTGAGCTCAGGTCACAAAGTAATATGACCCCAAAATAGAACAGTATTTAGTACTTACATTTTTCAATATTTTGGGATAATATTAGAAATGCACACACTCAGATATATGCACGCGCACACACACACACACGCACACACGCACACACACCCTCAGCTATGCCAACAGGGAAATAAAAACGGAAACTGTGAGCCTCCATTTTAGGATGATTTAGTGTGAGGAGTGCAGAGGAAATGGCTTTTAATGATGTCTGAATAGTGTGCTACGAACCCCCTGGTGCTGCTGTTTCTCCTTGTTACATTATTCATCCTAATGTATTAATTGTCGTTTGGAGAGGTGGTTTCACCACCCTAGTTTGTTTGGGAGTCAGGGGGACACAGAGTAATTAGACTAGGTTCCCTTGGACCAAAACACATCTCTCATTTATTCCCTCAAACAATGTGCTCATAAAAGTTTAATACCAGCAAATTAAAACAGTCTAAAACTGTCTGATTCATCCAATGAAAACAAATGAAAAGCAGGAGCTGGTAGATTACTTTCCTGTAGAATCATATTATTATGTAAACAGTGTAATGGCAGTAGAACAGAAGCCTGTGAGCATATAGGTTACATTAGTTACATCGTTTATTATTCTTCCAAATATATTCAGAACAATCTTCCAGCACGTCTCACCCCTAAAACATTCATGACTAATAATACCCACCCTAACAAATGCCCTCTGTCTGTGTGAGTAGGAGTGTGTGTGTGTGTGTGAAGCCTCTCTGTGTGGTCTGTTCCCTGGCAGTTATATATGCCTGGCTCAGTACACAGTCAGTAAACACTGCAGCTCACTGGCACCTAGGAATTTATATGTGTTGACTCTGTCTACAGGAGCATCAAAGGAGATCCTCCTCATCTCAGTAATAGGTGTGGGCTTTCAGGGGAAAGGAGATCCTCCTCATCTCAGTAATAGGTGTGGGCTTTCAGGGGAAAGGAGATCCTCCTCATGTCAGTAATAGGTGTGGGCTTTCAGGGGAAAGGAGATCCTTAATCCAACTAAAGTAGTCTGAAACAACAAGTCTCTACAGGACGTGGATTATTTTAGGCATCCTGATACAATAAGACTGGGTGATGATAGTTTAAATGCATGTACAGTCAGGGTCATCATTATTGGCACCCTTGATGAAGATGAGCTAAAAAGACTGTATAACATAAATAATACAAATACTGAGCTATATTGTATGCTGAAAAAGTTTAGAAATTATATTATTTTATACTAATACAATTGCTCATCTCATCTCCGAACTTGAACCCCATTGAAAACCTGTGGTTTGAATTGAAGAGGGCAGTTCATAAGAGCATGTCACGATCGTCTGAGGAAACGGACCAATACGCAGCGCGTGGAGTGAACATGATGACTTTATTAAATAAAAGCAACCACGAAAACAACAAACAAATGACGATAGTGAAGTCCTACAGTGACTATGACTGAACTTGGAACAAAAACCCACAAACCCCACAGGAAAACATACAGAAATAAATATGGCTCCCAATCAGAGATAACGAGCCGACAGCTGACACTCGTTACCTCCGATTGGGAGTCATTGACCAAACCTAGAAATACAACACTTAGAAACACCCAACCAAACATAACAAAATACACCCTGGCTCAAATACAAACGTCCCGGAGCCAGAGTGTCACAGTACCCCCCCCTAAAGGTGCGAACTCCGGGCGCACCAGCATACAGTCTAGGGGAGGGTCTGGGTGGGCGTCTGTCCACGGTGGCGGTTCTGGCCCTGGTCGTGGTCCCCACCCCACCTTAGTCACCACCCGCTTCCCTAGCCTCCTCCACATGACCCCCACCGGTTTAAGGGGCAGCACCGGACTAAGGGGCAGCACCAGACTAAGGGGCAGCACCGGACTAAGGGGCAGTACCGGACTAAGGGGCAGCACCAGGATAAGGGGCAGCACCTGACTCAATGGCGGATCCTGGCTGGCTGGCTCTGGCGGATCCTGGCTGGACGGCTCTGGCGGATCCTGTCTGGCGGAAGGCTCTGGCTGATCCTGTCTGGCGAAAGGCTCTGGCTGATCCTGTCTGGCGAAGGCTCTGGCTGATCCTGTCTGGCGGAAGGCTCTGGCTGATCCTGTCTGGCGGAAGGCTCTGGCTGATCCTGTCTGGCGGAAGGCTCTGGCTGATCCTGTCTGGCGGAAGGCTCTGGCTGATCCTGTCTGGCGGAAGGCTCTGGCTGATCCTGTCTGGCGGAAGGCTCTAGCGGCTCCGGTCTGGCGGACGGCTCAGAAGGCTCATGGCAGACGGGCGGCTTATGCAGCGCTTGGCAGACGGACAGTTCAGACGGCGTTGGGCAGACAGGCAGTTCAGGCGCCGTTGGGCAGACGGGCAGTTCAAGCGCCGTTGGGCAGACGGGCAGTTCAGGCGCCGTTGGGCAGACGGGCAGTTCAGGCGCCGTTGGGCAGACGGGCAGTTCAGGCGCCGTTGGGCAGACGGCAGACTCTGGCCGGCCGAGACGCACTATAGGCCTGGTGCGTGGTGCCGGAACTGGTGGTCCCGGGCTGAGGACACGCATCTCAGGGCTAGTGCGGGGAGAAGGAACAGGGCATGCTGGACCCTGGGGACGCACATAAGGCCTAGTGCGTGGTGCCGGAACTGGTGGTCCCGGGCTGAGGCCACGCATCTCAGGGCTAGTGCGGGGAGAAGCAACAGGGCATGCTGGACCCTGGGAACACACATAAGGGCTAGTGCGGAGAGAAGCAACAGGGCATGCTGGACCCTGGGAACGCACATAAAGCCTAGTGCGGAGAGCAGCAACAGGACGCACAGGACTCGGGAGACACACAGGAGGCTTGGGGCGTGGTGTAGGCACTGGTGGGAAAGGGCTGGCGACGCGCACCGTATCCCTGGTGCGAGTGGCCGGAACAGGCCGGGCCGGGCTGGCGAAGCGCACCGTATCCCTGGTGCGAGTGGCCGGAACAGGCCGGGCTGGGCTGGCGAAGCGCACCGTATCCCTGGTGCGAGTGGCCGGAACAGGCCGGGCTGGGCTGGCGAAGCGCACCGTATCCCTGGTGCGAGTGGCCGGAACAGGCCGGGCCGGGCTGGCGAAGCGCACCGTATCCTTGGTGCGAGGGGTCGTAACAGGCCGGACCGTACTGGAGGCACACACCACTGGCTCTACCCCGGGAACTGGAACGGGCCGGACCGGACTGGTAATACACCCCAGTACCACTCGCCGTGCCCCTACATCTCCTCTCCCTACTTTGGCCAGTGACCCCCGTAACCTGGTTGCCTCTTGAATTCGCCCCTTCTCTGCCTCCGTCAGTCCTGTGGCAGCCTCCCGCTGCCCAGCCGCCCAAGCCATGTGCCCCCCCCAAAAAACTTTTTGGGGTTGCCTCTCGTCCTTCCGACGATGGCCCTGCTGACGCCGTTGCTCCTCTCTCCGTCGCCTCTCCACTGTCTCGCTCCATGGACGGCGATCCATCCCCTCCAGGATTTCCTCCCAAGTCCAGGACCCTTTTCCGTCCAAAATCTCCTCCCATGTCCAGACCCTTTGCTCCTGGACACGCTGCTTGGTCCTTTTGTGGTGGGTTTTTCTGTCACGACCGTCTTGAAAGGGAGCAGACCAATACGCAGCGCGTGGAGTGAACATGATGACTTTATTAAATAAAAGCAACCACGAAAACAACAAACAAATGACGATAGTGAAGTCCTACAGTGACTATGACTGAACTTGGAACAAAAACCCACAAACCCCACAGGAAAACATACAGAAATAAATATGGCTCCCAATCAGAGATAACGAGCCGACAGCTGACACTCGTTACCTCCGATTGGGAGTCATTGACCAAACCTAGAAATACAACACTTAGAAACACCCAACCAAACATAACAAAATACACCCTGGCTCAAATACAAACGTCCCGGAGCCAGAGTGTCACAGAGCAGGGATCTGGAAAGATTCTGTATGGAGGAATAAGCTAAGATCCCTCCCAATGTGTTCTCCAATCTCATAAAACATTTTAGAAAAAGGCTCAGTGTCGTTATCTTCGCAAGGAGAGGGTGCTAGAGTATTGAAAACAGGGGTGCCAATAATTTTTACCCCTATCTCATAGCAATTGTATTAGTATAAAATAATATAATTTCCCAATGTTCTGAGCATACAATATAGCTCAGTATTTGTATTATTTATTTTATACAGTCTTTGTTGCTCATCTTCATCAAGGATGCCAATAATGATGGACCTGACTGTACATGCATAGCCCTTGCCTTACATATAAATTGTGGGGGAGGAAAATGATATGGTGGTTACATGGTGCTTACATGTAAACTGTGAATATGTACTTACACATCCTAGACCATGGTGGAGAGATCCAATCTGCATTGAAAGGACAGAGAGAAGATCAAAGAGAGAACCTCTTACTGTTTATGTGCTTACAGGACATGCGCCTAGAACATGTTCCATATAAATGCAGTACATTACAGTCACATTACATCTCATAGGTCATCTCATTGATGGGGTCATACAGATTCTTCCCTCTAAAGATGTATGGTTACAGCCTGGTCCAAAATTAGTCTGGCTGTGTGTTTATGTCTGTATGAGCCATCTACAGTGTGTGCAAACCATCATGAGAACCTCAAAGTAGAATCTCAGTATTGCAGTTGTTCTGTAGGGGATTTGACAGAGTCAGTAATGAGTTGAATGAGGTGGTTTAAACCAGTGTCTCCTAACCCTGGTCATTGAGTACCCCCAGCATTACACAGTTTTGTTGTAGCCCTTGACAAACACACCGCATTCAACTCATTGAGGGCTTGATGATTAGTTGACAAGTTGAATCAGGTGTGCTTGTCCAAGGTTAATATAAAAATGTGTACTGTTGGGGGTACTGGTTTAAATAATGGAGGTGAAAACTGATCCTCTAGCTCTATAGTACCAGTGGGACAGATATCTGTAACTGACTAAATAAAGGAAACCAACAGCCACCAGAACAGCTTCAGTGCACCTTGGCATCTACAAGTGTCTGGAAGTCTATTGGAGGGATGTGATCCCATTCTTCAAGGAGAAATTCCATAATTTGGTGTTTTGTTGATGGTGGTGGAAAACGCAGTTTCGGGCGCCGCTCTAGAATCTCGCATAAGTGTTCAATTGGGTTGAGATCTGGTGACTGAGACACACACACACAATATATGACCCTAAGCATGATGGGATGTTAATTGCTTAATTAACTCAGGAACCACACCTGTCTGGATCCTGCTTTCAATATAGTATGTATTTACTCGTGTTTCCTTTATTTTGGCAGTTACCTGTAGATTCTTATAGGATGGAAGTCTAATGTGGATTTTAATGTCCAGGTTCTTCACTGTACTGTGGGTCCTCTGAGGGTTTTGATACTGCTGTTTAGTGATGTTTTTTTCATTGCATTACATTATAGCGTGTGGTGAAGGGGTGATCCCCTTCTGCTCCACTACTGGGAGATATAAGGAGTCCATCATCATGCTAAAATCAGTCTGTCTGGAGCTCCCTGGGGTATAAGGGGTTAATCACTTTAAATTCATGCGGTCACTGAGAATCTCAGTTCCCCTCTATCTTTACATGACTGAAATGTAATTCATGGCTACAAGTACAGACTAGGCCTTTTCACTATATGCAGTACTTCACTACATTAAGTGTTAAGGCATTATCTCCCGAGTGGCGCAGTGGTCTAAGGCACTGCATCGCAGTGCTAGCTGTGCCACTAGAGATCCTGGTTCGAATCCAGGCTCTGTCGTAGCCGGCCGCGACCGGGAGACCCATGGGGCGGCGCACAATTGGCCCAGCGTCGTCCAGGGTAGGGGAGGGAATGGCCGGCAGGGATGTAGCTCAGTTGGTAGAGCATGGCGTTTGCAACGCCAGGGTTGTGGGTTCGATTAAATAATGTATGTGCTAACTGTAAGTCGCTCTGGATAAGAGCGTCTGCTAAATGACTAAAATGTAAATGTAATGAGACACCTTGGTAACAGAGAAGAACAACATCTCTTTCTCTCTCTGAGTAAGGGAAGGTTATGGGAGTTGGTTCTCATTCTTCATTAGACTGCAGAGGCTGGGCTCCCTGCTTGTGCCATCAAAACCCTTCAACTTATCCAGAACGCCGCAGCAACCTTCCCAAGTTCTCCCATGTCATGTCACCCTGCTCCTCCGCACACTCCACTGGCTTCCAGTCGAAGCTCGCATGCAAGACCATGTTGCTTGATAAAGGAGCAACAAAGGGAACTGCCACTCCCTACCTTTAGGTTATGCTCAAACCCTACATCCCAATCCGAGCACTCCGTTCCACCACGTCTGGTCTCTTGGCCGTCCCACGCTTATGGGAGGTCAGTTCTCGCTCAGCCCAGTCAAAGTTCTTCTCTATCCTGGCACCCCAATGGTGGAACCAGTTTCCCCCTGATGCTGGGACAGCAGAGTCCCTTTATTGAGGAAAAATATACTTACTGGGACTGTGAAATGTGGTTGTCTCACCCAGCTATCTTATGATGAATGCATTAACTGTAAGTCGCTCTGGATAAGAGCGTCTGCTAAATGACAAAAATGTAAAATGAGGTGGCTGACACCTCTCAAGGGCTGTGAGTGTATTAAAGTCACCGGCGTGAAGGTCTCAGAGTCAGACGTGACTCACTACACTACAGTCCTACAGTCACAGGACCCTGCTGCTGCCAGAGGACAGCCAATACAGTACTGCAGTCACAGGACCCTGCTGCTGCCAGAGGACAGCCAATACAGTACTGCAGTCACAGGACCCTGCTGCTGCCAGAGGACAGCCAATACAGTACTACAGTCACAGGACCCTGCTGCTGCCAGAGGACAGCCAATACAGTACTACAGTCACAGGACCCTGCTGCTGCCAGAGGACAGCCAATACAGTACTACAGTCTCAGGACCCTGCTGCTGCCAGAGGACAGCCAATACAGTACTACAGTCACAGGACCCTGCTGCTGCCAGAGGACAGCCAATACAGTACTGCAGTCACAGGACCCTGCTGCTGCCAGAGGACAGCCAATACAGTACTACAGTCACAGGACCCTGCTGCTGCCAGAGGACAGCCAATACAGTACTGCAGTCACAGGACCCTGCTGCTGCCAGAGGACAGCCAATACAGTACTACAGTCACAGGACCCTGCTGCTGCCAGAGGACAGCCAATACAGTACTGCATAAACCCTCCTTAACTTTCTGTGAGGGTTTGCACTCCAACAGCAGGAGAAGAGGTGATAACTTTAAATATGAAAGTGTATGAAGAAAAGGCACAACACTATCTCTCTCTCTCTCTCTCCATGGAGAATGTATGTCTTTGGGCTGTATTTGACAAACCAAACACAATAGTTAATCGTAGTTTCATTAAGATGACAAGTCTCTCCAGTGTAAAACCCAAGGGCATTTCCGTCATCTGCCTTGGATCAAGTGCTCTGCAAAAAGTGCTATAGAAGAGTTTTAGTTAAGTTGTGCGTTCCTCACCGGTTTTTTGTTCCCCACTATGAGTTTCTCCACCTTCTGGACCTGAGACACATGGTCCTCGTTGGTCTTCAGCTCCCTCTTCCTGATCCTCTCATAGATTCCTACCAGAGTCTCCCTGGGGATATCCTCGCCATCGTCCACCCCTGGGGAGGAGAGGAGACAATGGTTACACACACTCACAGACAGCGGCACACACACGCACGCACGGCACACACACACGCAGGCGCACACACACACACACGGAAATGCATGCACACACTTTGTTCTTGTCATTGAGAGGGGAAAGTAGAGTAGGATTATGAATCCATCTTAACCAATTACTTATTGTTTTTTTCCCATTACTGACACTCATCACGATAGATTATGAATTATCCCATCATGCTTTATTTCTCTAATAAAATCTTAAATGCCAAAATAAGACAAATAGTTGAATGTGCTTCTATCACACTGCTCACCCAATATTAAGAAACGCTAATGTGATTGTGTGAAGGAGAAATTAATCAGTTAACAAATGTCTTCACAATTCATAGTTATCACTCTGTTTTAACACCAACACCTTAAACAGCCACGACTCAAACAGTCACAGCCTGCTTTGTCAACTTCCAGACGCTGACAGACAGTGAAATGTCCTTTTAACACATGTGACATGTGGCAAATTCTTCAGATAGTCGACATGCTGCAGTCACCCTACCGGTGAAAAATATATTATTTTCATCTGTGTGTGATGAAATAGTTGCATTCGTGATTGAAATGCTGATTACATAGCACAAATAAACAGTATTGTCGTGACTCGTGTCAGAGTAGTGGCATTCTGTCTGTGGACAGTGGAGCCAGTTCCAGTTGTGATTGATTATTCTCTGCCCTGCTACATTCATGCTGAGCTTAACCTCGTCCCCAGGCTATTGTGCACAGCGCATATAAGCCTGGTACATCAACGATTCAAAGTTGGCCTTAGTGAGAGTGACCATATAATTCTAGTATTTGTCATAATTACATTTTTGCGAAACACACGACTACGAGGCGTGGCTCTGTGCATGTGGTGTTTTAGCGTACAGTCGTGGTCAAACGTTTTGAGAATGACACAAGTATTGGTCTTCACAAAGTTTGCTGCTTCAGTGTTTTTAGATATTTTTGTCAGATGTTACTATGGTATATTTACAAGTATAATTACAAGCATTCCATAAGTGTCAAAGGCTTTTATTGACAATTACATTAAGTTTATGCAAAGAGTCAATATTTGCAGTGTTGACCCTTCTTTTTCAAGACCTCTGCAATCCGCCCTGGCATGCTGTCAATTAACTTCTGGGCCACATCCTGACTGATGGCAGCCCATTCTTGCATAATCAATGCTTGGAGTTTGTCCGAATTTGTGGGTTTTTGTTTGTCCACCCGCCTCTTGAGGATCGACCACAAGTTCTCAATGGGATTAAGGTCTGGGGAGTTTCGTGGCCACGGACCCACATTTTTGATGTTTTGTTCCCCGAGCCACTTAGTTATCACTTTTGCCTTATGGCAAGGTGCTCCATCATGCTGGAAAAGGCATTGTTCGTCTCCAAACTGTTCTTGGATGGTTGGGAGTAGTTGCTCTCGGAGGATGTGTTGGTACCATTCTTTAATCATGGCTGTGTTCTTAGGCAAAATTGTGAGTGAGCCCACTCCCTTGGCTGAGAAGCAACCCCACACATGAATGGTCTCTGGATGCTTTACTGTTGGCATGACACAGGACTGATGGTAGCGCTCACCTTGTCTTCTCCGGACAAGCTTTTTTCCAGATGCCCCAAACAATTGGAAAGGGGATTCATCAGAGAAAATGACTACCCCAGTCCTCAGCAGTCCAATCCCTGTACCTTTTGCAGAATATCAGTCTGTCCCTGATGTTTTTCCTGGAGAGAAGTGGCTTCCTCGCTGCCCTTCTTGACACCAGGCCATCCTCCAAAAGTCTTCGCCTCACTGTGCGTGCAGATACACTCACACCTGCCTGCTGCCATTCCTGAGCAAGCTCTGCACTGGTGGTGCCCCGATCCCGCAGCTGAATCAACTTTAGACGGTCCTGGCGCTTGCTGGACTTTCTTGGGCGCCCTGAAGCCTCCTTCACAACAATTGTGGTCCTCTGTAGCTCAGCTGGTAGAGCACGGCGCTTGTAACGCCAAGGTAGTGGGTTCGATCCCTGGGACCACCCATACACAAAAATGTATGCACGCATGACTGTAAGTCGCTTTGGATAAAAGCGTCTGCTAAATGGCATATTATTATTATTATTATAATTGAACCTCTCTCCTTGAAGTTCTTGATGATCCGATAAATGGTTGATTTCGGTGCAATCTTACTAGCAGCAATATCCTTGCCTGTGAAGCCCTTTTTGTGCAAAGCAATGATGACGGCACGTGTTTCCTTGCAGGTAACCATGGTTAACAGAGGAAGAACAATGATTTCAAGCACCACCCTCCTTTTAAAGCTTCCAGTCTGTTATTCTAACTCAATCAGCATGACAGAGTGATCTCGTCAACACTCTCACCTGTGTTAACGAGAGAATCACTGACATGATGTCAGCTGGTCCTTTTGTGGCATGGCTGAAATGCAGTGGACATTTTTGGGGGGGATTAAGTTCATTTTCATGGCAAAGAGGGACTTTGCAATTAATTGCAATTCATCTGATCACTCTTCATAACATTCTGGAGTATATGCAAATTGCCATCATAAAAACTGAGGCAGCAGACTTTGTGAAAATTAATATTTGTGTCATTCTCAAAACTTTTGACCACGACTGTAAATGGGAGGTTTAGGGGGAAGTTGTAGTGGGAGATGATTGGTTGGTAGATTAAGCCAATGCCTATGAGCCGGGAGTTTCTCCTGGTCTTTCTGTATTGGCAGAAGATTATGTTGAGCTGGAGTGGATGTGTGTTTTCTGCTTTTCTACAGATATATGAGAGTGGAACATGCTCAAGTGTTTTTTCTTCAATATGCATTGTTGAAAGGGTGAAGCAATCGTATTGTGAATGTCCCGCACTCACTTGATGCAGTTTTTTGTTTATTGTATCATTACTTATTTTCTCTAAAGTATGTAGAGGACAATGTCTCAGTTTTGACTTCAGAAACCCTGACATTTCCCCTTCTCTCTCTCACCTCGGAGGTTCTTGACGAAGTCCTCCAGCTTCATCTTCCTCTCTGGCTTGACATTGGGGCTGTACATGTCCGTGTTGAGGAGGATGATGGCAAAAGCCAGGATGAAGATGGTGTCAGGGTTCCGGAACTGGCGCACCACCGTGGGGTTACAGATGCAGTAGCGCTGGCTGGAATACAGAGAAACAGGAAAGGAAGATGACATCCCATGTCAGAGGTTGAAAGAGTCATATTGACTTTTGATATAGAGAGCCATCATAGAATGCAACAGAATGTTAAAAGCCTTATTGTCCACACAATGTGGACATTAATCTGGTTGACTTGCTGATGAAAATGTGTTTAGGCCAGGATACAATGCATCAGATGATGGTCAATAACTGTTAGCATTGTGTGTGTACCATGCCATCATCTTGCAGCATTGCGTGAGGAACTGCTCTATTTACTCAAGCAAAAGTAACTGAAGCACCGAGTCCCTCTACGCATCAAGTCCTTTAGCCAACATGGTGTTGTGAGCAAAGCTAGCAGTGACTTGCATTTCCAAGACATTGGTCAACGTCAGAGCAACTCTATTTGAAAATGTCATGCAAAAGAGTCTCTCTCGTGACAGATGAGGGAACATTATCCAAAAATATTGTGCAGTACTCTAGCCATTACAGTATTTTAATTGTTCGCAGATGTTGATTACAGTGTTATAATGTTGTAATGCTAAAACAGACCTGTGTACCCCTCTTAGCCAAACCCCTTCTCTCACCGGTATGTATCTTTATTCCAGTACATTCTTAACCTATGTACTCTCCTCTGTTGTCTTACCTGTAGGCTTCGATGAGGCGCTCCACCTTCTGTGCCTCTCCCTGGACCCGGATGTGGTTCTGGAACTTCCTCAGTGCCTCGTCCAGCTCCATTGACGAGAAATCCATCTCATCTACCACACAGCTGGAACACACAACCAACCAACCAACCCAACAATCAATTCACTAACCCAAAAATATATTGTTGATCAATGATTTGTCTAGTATTCATTACAAAAGTCCATCTCATTCAGTTCCGAGCTGAAATACACAGATCACGGTGGCATCCTGTGCCCAGCAGTTCAAGATTTGTCAAAATCTGACAGGAAACTGCCTAATAGTCCTTTGATAATGACACAAAACACATTTGAGAGGCCAAGTGTGAGGAGCACCAGATTGTTCTTAAATGTGGAGATCTGTGTGTTTGAAATAGGGTGACTGTGGGTTTTATCTAGTCCTATTGACACAGCCAGTCATCTCTATCGTCTGTATCATCTTAATGAGCCCAGCCTGTCCCTCCCTCTCGCTCTCTCCCTGAGCAGTAGAGTGTGGACATTCTACCAGGCTGGCCCATAGCCACAGATATACAAAGTTAAATAAAAAAATCGAATCAGATCAAATGTATTAGTCACGTACACAGCAGGTATAAAAGGTGCGGTGAAATGCTTGCGTGCTAGCTCCTTCAACATTACAGTATCAATATTTGCCATCCTCAGCCATCTTTGTTTAATATGTTGAATTTTAATGCCTTGGAACAGTTTATGCCAACTGTCCCAAGGCAATAACCTCTCAGTTAGGACAAACATTTGGAGCAGTGAGTGTGAAGATGGAGGATAGTTTGCTGAACTCTCTACAGTTAATCTACTGTTCTGGCCTACAGTATAAAGCTATCTGTGCAAGGCACTGGAATAACAGGGTTATTCCCCTGTGATCTCCCAATCGATGGTGGATTGATAGACTATAAAGAGTGTCCAGTGATTTTCCTGGTCAGGTCACAAGACCTGGCCTTTAAAAATGACCAATTAACAGTACTCACTCCAGGACGTCTCTGTTGAACTGTTTCTGCCGGTTGCCCAGGAACTCTCCAATCATCTGCCTGCTCAGGCCCTTTCTCTGAAGCAGGAAGTGAGCCACACCCACAGGCGTGTCCGGGACGAACCCTCTCTCAGTTAGGTACTGGACGCCCTTTTCTGGTTTCCTGCAGACACACACACACACACACATACACACACACACACACACACACACACACACACACACACACACACACACACACAAAGAGGATGGTTACTGTTATAGTGAAGAAACACACTGAGAATGCCCAAGGTGATCCTTCTCAAAAAGGCCATCATCAAAATGTGGCCTTTTTCATAAGCATGCGTGTCCTCATGCGACCTATCCAATCGTAATACAAAGCCAAGTGTGGTGTTTGATTCTGACTAATAGGAAGTGGCTTCAGCAGGAAAAGGGTGGTTAATAATATTTAACCAGGGCACAGAAAATGGAGCGACACTGTCTGGCTGTATAATAATATAATATGCCATTTAGCAGACGCTTTTATCCAAAGCGACTTACAGTCATGCGTGCATAATTTTTTTTTTGGTGTATGTGTGGTCCCGAGGATCGAACCCACTACCTTGGCGTTAAAAGCGCCGTGCTCTACCAGCTGAGCTACAGAGGAGCTATGTATGTAGTAGAGGATAAACAGATGGACTGTAAAAATGCATCAGTCCGAATTTCTCATCTACAGTATATCAGTTAAATAAGTAGACATATAAATATGCAAAGAGATGACACAAATGCCCAAATATATGACTTAGCCTATAGGCCTATCTTACACAAATGCATTTTCCATTTTTCCATTTTAATAGAGTACTCTCTTATCCTCAACCTTCCTAATTGAATTGAATTAGACTTATTTCCGTATATTGTGTGGCACTCATACAACCCTGATTACTGTAGGTAGGTCACCTCGGTTCATCTACCAGGACCACTCTACAACATCAACAGCTCATTGACACCAGCTCATGACACCAATCAGTGGTCAACCACGTTAGCACTCTGTCAGAGCCGAGCACCTACTTGTTGAAGAGGTTCAGGCCAATGCGGTAGTGCCTCTTGCGGATCACATCGTTGCTGAAGACCGGCGAGTCCCAGCTGTTGCGTGTCTCTTTGTGGTACGTCTGCTTGCTGAGTGTCTGTTCCCTCAGGCTGTCCCGGGACGACGACTCAGAGCTGCAGTTGATGGTGTCGTTGGAGTTAGACGTGCTGTTGATGCTGTCGTTATCCCCGTCCGAGAAGTCAGACTCAGACTTGCTCTGCCGGTTGGCCGAGCCGTTGATGGCCAGGTGGCTCTCCAGCGCCCTGTGGCGGTGGCGGAGTGGTGCCTCGTCGTCCCGGGAGGGCCCCCGTGGAGGCGGGCCATGAGAGATGTGTTTAGGGCTGGCCTGGGAGGATGCCACAATGTGCCCGCCCCCGTGAGGCTCGTAGACAGGCGGACGTTTGACGGAGCTGCGGTCAGAGCGGTCACTGTGTTCGGCGGAGCTGTCGCTGGGCGGCTCGATGGTCAGCAGGGGGAGGTGGAGCCTCTGTTCCTGGCACTCCAGGGAGGGAGTGCTGCGACAGCTGGTGTCCGTGTCACGACCCTCGTCCTTGGGGTCCAGCGGCCAGTAGTCCTGGGAGGAGTTGGCCGAGCGCAGGCGGAGGTCTGACTCAATGCTGGAGGGCTGGTCACCAGACCCCCGCGACAGCCCCATGGAGGGAGACAGCTCCTCCTCGTCAATAAACAGAGTCACGTCGCTGTAGGATGCCATCATGTCCTCTCGCACGCGTCCTGTCGCCCCGCGGTGAGGCTTCACCTGATAGGCCACCTCCCTCTCCACCTCAGGGCAGCCCAAGGCCTTGGGGTCATGACCCTCATCGCCCTGCAGGCTGCGGCAGTTCAAGGCGTCGTCGATGGACTCAGCCAGAGACTTGACCTGCCTGGAGAAGGCGTCCTCCAGCTCTGTGATGGCATCCGTCAGGTGGTTCTGGGAGGCCGGGTGAGACGCCATGTTGGCCTGGTGGTGGACCTCCATGTCCCCGCACTCGGACTGTACCAAGGCCAGGGGGGTGCCGTCGTCTGTCAGGGACACCTGTTTCCCCTCAAAGTAGGAGCTGTGGACTTTCTCAGGGCCCTCGAAGGAGAACTGCATCCTCATATTGGACAGGACGATGCGTCGGGACATGCGGTTCTCAGACATACAACTCCTGAGACGCTCAAAGTTTTTGTTCATCTGGTACTGGCGGAAGGCTGTCTGGATGGTGCGGGCCGCATGCCGGGTTATGAAGCGTCCGCCATATTTACGCTCCAGCATCTCCACCTGACAGATTATAACACAATGATTATAACACAACAGCCCTTCACAAATGATGACCCATGCTCATACACACGTGGGACTGAATTGAGCTTGTCGAGGGAACATTACTATAATTTGTTAGTCATACAAATGTCCAGGATGAGCAGAGAACCTGCAGCAAAGCAACGCCACAGTTTTTTTCAAAGGTATCTGTAGATGATTAGTTAGGGTGTGTGTAGTGTGTAGTGAGGTCAATGATATAGTAGTTCATTAGGGGAGATATTAGGTGACGACATCTGTATAGATGTTGATGAGTGTGTCTGCAGACAATCAGACAGTGGGGCCAGGGTTAGGGTTAGTGAGGCCAGGGTACTCTACCTGTTTGTCCTGGAGGTCAGCCGACAGCTCATAGCCCTCTGAGTGTGAGCGGGAGCGTTTGATGGCCTCCTCCTCGGCCTGCTTGCGGAGGATGGACTGGGAGTGCTGGAGCTTGGGCCTGCGGGGGGGCCGCTGGGGGCCGGGCTGCACTCCGTGGCCGTAGAGGGGGCCCTCGAAGCGTTCTGGGCTGATCACTGGGCCCCTGTAGCTGGCTCCACTGTCACTCTCATTGGGCCGCGCATCTCCCTCCACACTGCAATGACACAGACACAGAGATACTCAGTTAGTCTACTGCAATGACACAGACACAGAGATACACAGTTAGTCTACTGCAATGACACAGACAGAAAGAGTTTCTCAAAGTTTTCATCCCCCTCCACACTGCAATGATACAAAGACAGAGAAACACAGTCACTCAAAGCTTTCATATCCTGTGCCCATCCACTGGTCTCCCAGTACTCATACCATATTGAAACTCATCAAGTAGGCATCTCATCCATTACTCCTCTAGAACCTATTCAGGACAGTACAATCACCACCAACATTGACCATTCAGTACTCATTTGGCAGTCATTCTTTCATAGTGTGTACATGACTTTAACCACTGTGCTGCTGAATAAGTTCAGGAAATGTCTATGAATCAAGTCCTCACGGCATGAATTCCAACTAAGCTGTTGATGTCTAAATGAAAACAGCCAAATAAAACAGTGAGGTCCATGTTTCTGTTTTGAAACGTCATTACAGAGCCAATTCTGCATAGTTGGTGGTAGTGCAGCATTCAGCCATAACACCACTCACATGGGTAAATATTGCAGTCATTTCTCAGAAGTGCTGATACTACAATTTCTAGACACAGCCTACATCAACTTCTCAACACCGTGCGCTGATTAAAAGTGCATGTAAGTGGGTCGGCCATGATTACTATTTGAAATATGACTGTAACAGCCCCATTCATTATCTAGTATTCAGAGAGAGAAACATGTCACCAAGCCAATCTCTATGAAAAATTCAACACAGTCAGGACATGTGATGACACAGTAAGAACCAAGTAGTGCAATCAACATACAAACCCTTCAACCCAACCCTTCAACCCTTCAACCCAACCCTTCAACCCAGTAGGAAGTTCAACAGGAGAGGGTACTCACTCACTCTTACATTCAACAGTGGGAGAAGACTGCTGCTTCACACGTAGAGACCTCCTTTTCTCTATGAACTGCCAACTCTTCCTCCATACCTTGTCCACCATGTTTAGTACACACTAATGACTGTATATCTGAACACACTCAGAGCAGCTCCTCCAGGAAACCAACCAGAGTAAGTCCGCCCCATGCAGTTCAAAGGTCAACCAGTGTGCAATGACAGTTACATCATGTTTGGTGTATAGGAGCCTCAGTAAATATTCCAAAGTCCAGTTTGAGCCCACGGTGACAAGGTAAATATATAAAAAAATTAATCATTTGTAAAGTCTCAAAATCCATTCACTGAGTCAACATGGAAGGGGTGTATGGGAGTGGGGGTGGCTTCACCATATATAACTCCTGTCATTAACTCTTTTCAAGGGAACTTTCCCTTTTACACAGGATATGTTTGGGTTTGAATAGTGACCTCATCTGTAGTGTACACCGGACAAGACAAACCCTGGTTTCTTAGGTACATTAAACCGTTTCCCTCATCATACAGGAAGGAGACTGGCAACTACCGAGTTACGGCCAGGGGGATTTGTTATCGGTTGTACACTACAAATATGGAAATGAATCTTAAAGTTGCAATAAAAACTACAAACAGATGTCAGTCACAGCTGACTACAGCCAGTGTTAATCCCCTGACCATGACCGCAGGGTATTTTCAGCCTTATAGTGGGATGACTGTATAGAATACTCACAACAAACCCTTCTGCATCTCAAACACATACTGACGCCATGTTAAGACCCTCAATCAAGGTTTAGTAGGCCCTCCAACTGCCTGATTAAAATGAAGGGGCCTTCTGACTGCTAAATGGACACTAGCACTACTAACGTATGCATACCACAGCTGAGGAGTCAGACGGGTTTAACACATGAAAGGCATCAAGAAAACGGCTAATGACACTACGGTTTCAATAGAGCACAATCGGTTTAAAACTTCTCTCAGAGACACATTGTGCTTTGTAAGCCCTTTTGTATACATTTTAGACACTCAACTGCCTCTCAACCAAACAGTGGCATGTGAGTTCTGTAAACCTGTCGCTCGACGTGGCTCTACAGTGGCCAGCCAGACTGCCACCTGGGACATGGACGAATTAGCTGAATACCGACAGAGAACGGCTATTCAAGTGAAGTACTGCAGAAAACTAGGGTCCTGCAGTGAGATTTAAAGTGACAGTTATGTATGTATCATGCGGTTATATGTTGTCTGCATTGACACTTTAAGCCCAGCAAAATTTGGCCCTTGGGGATAAATAGGCTACACCTTATTGAGTTGAACTGAATGTATGGAGTTGAACGGAATGTATTGAGTTGAACTGAATTAAGTGTAGTTCTAATAACTAATTGTTGTCTTAGTAAGACAAAACTTTAAGACATGCATCGTAGTTATACACCAACCACAGCTTTCTTCCACACCAATTCTTCAACAGGGGACTATACCAGAGAAGATCCCTGTGACAGGTTAAGTGGATGACATTAAGTCTAACTCTCTGTTCTGTTGGGCTGAGACACCGAGGGTCACATGAGGGCATGGTGACACAGGATACCTTGACAGTAAGCGAACGCTAACCGCCTCCCTCTGGGCATTAGATATACACACAGTGTACTGTATCTAGACCGTCTAGACCTGCAGACAGCTAGCTAGAGTGAAGATACACACAGAGGCCTATTTATTGCATGCAGCACCAACACAAACCCAGTGTGACAGAGTGAAAATCACACTTCTTGCATAATCGCCGTGGGGACGAGTGTCCCCGACCATCTGTCATGGCAAACTGTGTGACAATGCACTCGTCCCCGAAGTGTGAGGCAGGCGCACCTCGCATTCTGCCACAGCACTACCAGAGAGACTGGCGATAACGATGCCTTTATTTTTCTATGAATCTGACAGACCTGTGATTTTCATGGTTTCATCACTATAAATTGTTTATTATAGTTGATATAGTCCATCATTTCATTTCAGGGGAATATTGGAATTGGTGGTTTATTTGGCATAACAGACTATGACGAATCAAATAAACACAGCTTCATGAAGCCCTGAACACACCGTACTACAGTGAATCTCTTACTGTATATTGTTGCATGTGCTTCTCACAAAGACTGATCCCGTCGGAAATAAGCTTTGCTACAGAGAATTTGAACCTGGTTTTCTTAAGCTACTGTAAGAGTTTTCTGGGTTGTTCTTCATTGTGTCAGGCCAAAACCATGTACAGTGCATTCGGAAAGTATTCAGACCCCTTCCCTTTTTACAAATGTTGTTACGTTACAGCCTTATTCTTAAATAAATTACATTTTTTGTAATCCTCATCAAGCTACACACAATACCCCATAATGAAAACGCGAAAACAGGTTTTTAGAAATGTTTGCAAATGTATTAAAAATATAAACTTTATTTACATATGTATTCAGACCCTTTGCTATGAGACTCGAAATTGAGCTCAGGTGCATTCTGTTTCCATTGATCATCCTTGAGATGTTTCTACAACTTGGAATCCACCTGTGGTAAATTCAATTGATTGGACATGATTTGGAAAGGCACACACCTGTCTATATAAGGTACCACAGTTGACAGTGCATGTCAGAGCAGAAACCAAGCCATGAGGTCAAAGGAATTGTCCCTAGAGCTCCAAGACAGGATTGTGTTGTGGCACAGATCTGGGAAGGGTACCAAAAAATGTCTGCAGCATTAAAGGTCCCCAAGAACACAGTGGCCTCCATCATTTTTAATGGAAGGAGTTTGGAACCACCAAGAATCTTCCTAGAGCTGGCCGCCCGGCCAAACTGAGCAATCGGGGGAGAAGGGACTTGGTCAGGGAGGTGACCAAGAACCCGATGGTCACTCTGACAGAGCTCCAGAGTTCCTCTGTGGAGATGGGAGAACCTTAAAGTAGGACAACCATCTCTGCAGCACTCCACCAATCAGGCCTTTATTGGTTGAGTGGCCAGACGGAAGCCCTTCCTCAGTAAAAGGCATATGACAGCCCGTTTGGAGTTTGCCAAAAGGCACCTAAAGACTCTCAGACAATGAGAAACAAGATTCTCTGGTCTGATGAAACCAAGATTGAACTCTTTGGCCTGAATGCCAAGCATCACATCTGGAGGAAACCTGGCACCATCCCTACAGTGAAGCATGGTGGTGGCAGCATCATGCTGTGGGGATGTTTTTCAGCGGCAGGGACTGGGAGACTAGTCAGGATCGAGGGAAAGATGAACGGAGCAAAGTACAGAGAGATCCTTGATGAAAACCTGCTCCAGAGCGCTTGGGACCTCAGACTGGGGCGAAGGTTCACCTTCCAACAGGACAACGGCCCTAAGCACACAGCCAAAACAACGCAGGAGTGGCTTCGGGACAAGTCTCTGAATGTCCTTGATTGGCCCAGCCAGAGCCTGGACTTGAACCCGATTGAACATCTCTGGAAAGACCTGAAAATAGCTGTACAGCGACACTCCCCATCCAACCTGAAAGAGCTTGAGAGGATCTGCAGGGAAGAATGGGAGAAACTCCCCAAATACAGGTGTGCCAAGCTTGTAGCGTCATACCCAAGAAGACTCGAGGCTGTAATCGCTGCGAAAGGTGCTACAGCAAAGTACTGAGTAAAAGGTCTGAATACTTATGTAAATGTGATATTTCTGTGTTTTGTTTTTATATATATAGATTTGCAAACATTTCTAAAAACCTGTTATTGCCTTGTCATTATGGGGTATTGTGTGTAGATTGATGAGGGGAAAAAAATTATTTAACCCATGTTAGAATAAGGCTGTAACGTAACAAAATGTGGAAAAAGTCAAGGGGTCTGAATACTTTCCGAAGGCACTGTATGACAGTAGTGGACATGGTTGCTTTACAGTGCACAATTCCCTCTCCTCTACTGTGCTGGCCCTTTCCATGGAATATTGAAGTCTCTCATACGCAGTCTTATCCTCACTTCTCCACCTCCATCCATCACCCAACAGCACCCACTCTCCTTCAGATTCTAATTCTCCCTCTTCAGCCACCAAAATGGTGTAAGTAAGGAGAGAAAGAGCAAGGAGAGAGAGAGAGACTTCACGTGACGTCCTGCTGTTCTTTTCCTCGAAGGTCACCCTCACTTCCCCTCTGTCAGGTCAGTTGTTCATGATGGCAGGAAAAGAACAGAAAAAAGGAAGGAAGAAAAAGCTGTGTTTTAGAGAGCAGATGTTTCAGGCTGCAGTGAAGGGTGAAAAGAAGGGAGAGAGGAGGACAGGAGAGGAAAGCAGGACCTCAGATGACATAACGCCAGGAGAGAGCTTTTAATAACAACACATCTACAGACTACACTTGGTTATTTGAGCTATGACTACAAATCCACTATGTGTCCTTACCAGCCAATCAGATACAGTGATGTAAAGTACTTAAGTAAAAATACTTTAAAGTACTACTTAAGTAGTTTTTTGTGGTATCTGTACTTTACTATTTATATTTTTGGCAACTTTTACTTTACTACATTCATAAAGAAAACCATGTACTTTTTACTCCATACATTTTCCCTGACACCCAAAAGTATTCGTTACATGTTGAATGCTTAACATTGTCCAATTCACGCACTTATCAAGAGAACACGTGGTCAACCCTACTGCATCGATTGTAAATTATGTCAGTGTTGGAGTGTGCCCCTGGCTATACCCCCTAAAAAATAACAAATCAAATGGTGCCGTCTGCTTTACTATTAAGGTATCTATACTTTTACTCAGGTACTTTTTTCACCACTGGTCAGATAAGACAGGGATTAACAAACCACCATAGAAGAAAGCTAAAATAGTGGCAAGGCAATGAATCAAGTGATATAGAAACACCTCCCAAAGGAGAGATTCATATTGTCTTCCACATCACTTTAAATACATTTTGACCGGTCTTTTATTATATTAGCAAACTAGAAGCAGGAATGGTGGTCTACGATCCCTAGCTTTCTTCCTGGTCTGGGTCTGGAAGGACTGGAGGAGGGTGTCTGTTCAGCTGGTAGTGATTTCAGCTGGGGAGCCAGAGGTGGGTTGTCACTCTCTCCCTCCCCTTTTCTCTGCATATACTGATAAACATGCATAGGCC